TGAGCGTAATTGACCCAAATGAAATTGAGCAATTCGACAAATTAATAAATAGTTAAGATGAGATGTTTTGCCAAATCAACAAAAGATATTGTTGAATCTGGTGGAGAATAATGTTGTAAATGAGTATTTACTACTGCTGTAATTGAGAATAAGTCTGAAGGAAATAATATAAGACCTTAGCTATTCCAGTCAAAGGTGTCTACCAATTACTTTATTATTTAACACACAGGTTTAGCATGTATGATAGTAATTATATTTCATATGATGATATCACCATAATATGGGATACATCAGTGGATTATTATAAGCATAATTATAACTCATAAACACATTTACTTTCGATGTTAATACTTCATTGGGACTACACACATTTATATAATTAATCATACATTAATTATCCCAAGATCACGTTGCTCTGATTAAGGCTCAGATAGGATCGATTACCTGACCCCAGTCATATAATTTTCCCAATCTAAAACAATATAAATAGCAGTAGTAGTTCAGTGTAGGAACCTCATCAAACTTTGATACAAAATCTTTCTCAATAAACAAAACCTATACAAGTTCTCACGAATCTTCATTCCTAATTTCAAATCTTCAATTCTTCCTCTTAAAAACTTCTTCAACTTCAACCACCACAACAACTACTAATTTTTTTAATTAAATGTAGTGTGACTGTTATATCTGAAATATTTTAATATCCAATATCATATACTAATCCAGACAGAATTCTCTATCAAAGTTACTTTAAATAATTACCTAATATAAAGTTCTATCTGAAATATAATAACAATGTATCTAATCTATTATTGAATCATCTTTAATAAATACTTAAAATATTATTAGAAAGTCATTACAATAACTCATATTCAAGGTAACTGGATATATTCCAATAAATATAAATATCATAAATAAAATAACTTTTATTAAAATAACTTAATTCAATGTAAACTTTTAATAAAAATAGTAAAAAAGAATCTCAAAATACTTATTGTTCTATCTTTTCACATACAAATATAATAGTAGTCAGTCATCAAATTTTATATAAACTAATAGTATTATTAAAAGGTTTTACCAGCTTTGAATGTTGACTGTTAGATATAGCAGTGGTTTAATTCAGAAAATAATTGGCTGTAACAAACCTTCAAAAAATAAAAAACAAGCATCTAAGCATCTAAAAAAATAGTCCGATACTCTAGATGTCATGACTTAGCCAAAATTTTGTAAATTTTGTATTTTATATACAATTAATAGCAAACTTCATATAGAAGCAAAGTTAAAAATAAAATATAATCAATCTATATAAAAATAGCTATTTTGATACCAGATTATAGAAGTCTAACTTACTTGTGAGAGATTTGAGCATAGGCACTATATTTATAGGTACTCTAATCAAGAGTATTATATATATATATAAATTTTGATATATATAAGAGAAAACATATCAACCAAGAGTCATTAGGGGCTTTTCCAGTCTTTTTTTGATACTTATTATTATTGGCTGGTGCTTAAACTACTGCTATATCCAATAGTCAACATCTAAAGCTGATGAAACTCCCTATTATAATAATTTCATTCATAATATTAATTAATAATCTTATAAAAAAGATATTATATTGAATAAGACATCTAAATAAACATTCTAAATAATTAATAGCAATAGCAATAGCAATTAGTTCATAATATAATTACATTTTATCTACTATATTCTTTGTCTGTTTGATCATACTTCTTTAAGTATACTTCTTTATTATCAAGTTTACTTCTTTGTCCGTTTTTATACTGTTGGGTTATTGTTTTTAACTTTTTTATAATATTAATAATACATCAAGGTTTCGTGATGTAATGGTTAGCATCTGAGATTCTGATTCTCATTATCCGAGTTCAAATCTCGGCGAGACCTCTTTTTGTTTAAAGCTGCCTGTTGTGCCCGAATTTTTGCCAGCCAATCACAATTGCTATTACACGTAGCTTTCTTTTAAGAATGACAGTTGAAGTTATTCTCTTTTGCTCACAAACGAATTAAAAAACACATAGCTTAACAAAAGTAAAATAGAAACTGAAACAGATATCTATAATTTCTGAGTAGATTTAGAAAAGATATAAAAGAAAACAATATTTTATTTAATAAAAATTATTTATATTTCTATTCTCTTTTTATTTTTTTATTCTGATTTATGATTTTCAGTATTCGACTAATTTTAGCACTGTTGTAGCATTAAAAGAGCAACTTAGATAAAAAATGACACTATTCTTTATCTGGTCTGACCATTCCTATAAAAGAAGTATGATACTTTTTGCAGAATTTCCTTTAATTCTTGTGTATTGTATTTCATCATTTGGTATTGCATTAGAAGAACTTTACAACAAATTAGTATAGATTGTTCTGATATAAAAATATTCAGATGAAGTAATAATAAAAACATTATTCTTATCCATCTTTATTTTATTGATCAAATCTCTTATTACTTTTGCTTATATATTTATTTCATTGTCACTGACTTATAACCACTCTTCACGATAGTTATAAGCATATTTCTTGATATATTTGTTCTTTATAAACATATTTTACTACATCTCCTTATTGTTGGATAGATCCAAGCGTTATCACAGTAATTCATCTTTCTCTATACATATTTTGCCTTTTGAACTCATTGGCAACACTTCTATTACTATTTTTCTGACAATGTTGTATCACACCAACTCAACACTTATCAGTTAGATTAATGTAACTTTTAATAGGAATAATCCCATACAAATAAGATTTCAACATAAAAGCATTGATATAGAAGAGACTGAAACACTTGCTTATTTTAATTCCTTTTCTCTAAAAAAAATACTCAAAGCTATCTTTGGCTCATTATAATTCTTTATGTTAGTATAAACAGCCTTGCATGAAATATATATTTATCCCATTGGCTTTGTATCAGCAGTAGTAATGTTGATATAAGGTTTGTTAGAGATGTTTATAATTTTTTCATAGCATGCTATTCATATCACACATTTATTTATTAAAACATTTCAAGACCAATGCTGGTATTGGGTTTTCATGTCAATAATTTAGGAATAGATTAACATTCTAATTCTCACAAAACTGTTGCAATACACGTTTTTTATTTGCCTAAATATTAATCTTTGAAATGTGCAGGTAAGAGTGTATATTTTAGTGAAAGAAAAGGAATTGACAGTTACTATTTTTGTTAATACTTTATCTACTACCAGAAAATGTAGACTTTCGGAAATGTAGACTTTCCAAAGGATAAGGTTTGGGTTTAGATATCTAGATATCTGTTAAATTTTCAACGAATAGTTTTATAGGAAAATAAAACATTAGAGTTAGAACTACTTTATTTTTTTTTTGAAAATAATAATAACAGCAATAATTGATACTTCATTTGGCCTATTTTTACGCAAATGGTTTAAAATGCTAACTCTTAGGTTACCTAATACAAGATTATGATAGTGCCTTTTTAATTAATAATTATTTATAATTTTAACTTTATTTTCTCGTAGAATTTCTATTCTTTGAATATTTAAAAAAGTAGTTCTTTATTGTTGTAATGAGAAAAGAAATTTATGGGATGTCTGATTTAACTCTGGCAATTAGACCTCTTTATCTCTCTCTTATTATTTTTTTATAGATTCTTAGATACATATAGTGAAATTATATTTATAGCTTTGCGCGAGAATAAAATTTGAGTGTGTATATAATTTATTAAGAGTTGATAAAGAATCAGTAAAAATACAGTAAGGTATCAATAAAAAGATGATTACAAAACTTTACATTTGTTAAAAAGTAGATTTAGATAATATTTTATGACAGCCAGGGGGTGAGAAAATAAAGGATGTGCAAAAAGCCTTTTCGAAGGTCCTCAAGGAAGCACCATTCTTTCTCTATAGTAATTAAGAAAAGAAGAACAGAAAAAAAGCTAAAAGGGCATTGATTGCTTACTAATACTTCTTGGCTTTTAAGGTTGATAGCTTTTTTTTTTCTATTAAAGTCTTGTTTTTGGAAACCGTAAAGCAAGAATTATTCAAAAGAGTATCTGCCATCAGACATGGTTTAAGCGATTATTGAGTAACTCATGTGCAGTAAAAACTACGGAGCTTTTAAAATACAAACACAAATCTATATACATCCAATAAAAAAACCGGGATGTCTATCCAAAGTTGTATCGTATAGAAAATGTAATCTATAATAATGTCATTGGGAAAAGAAAAGGAAATCGAAGCATGTCCAACAATTAAGCAGGTAAGAGTAAAAATATATCCTGGCTTATATACATATAAAAGCAATGACACCAGAAACATGCATTTGTACCAAGTACATTTAACTTGCTCCTTTTTAGACAGGCCATAAAAGACCTTGTCAAAGTAAGTTTACAGCAATAGAAAAAAATCAAGCGCGTGATTTATTGTCTAATTGATTAATGTATGCATTTAGCTGTAATGTCATTCTTTTTCTAGGGAAAATTGAAATTGAAATTGATTTTTTTCTAGATTTTTGAATTATTATTATGTTTATTTCTTCAAGCATACACACACACAAGCACGGGTTTTTGTATTGAATTTGGGTTGTTTCTTTTTTAGCTTACAAGAAACAAGCAAATACATGAAATAAGAAATCATAAATATAGATATAGATACCCATATAAATATACAATATAATATAGTATAATATACAAGCAAATTGAATAGAAAAAAAAATGAAAAAAATAAAAGAAAATTTAGAAATTAAAAGCAATAATTTACAAGTTATATAATGGTGTAGTAAATGGTAGAGAGAATATGTAAAGAAGAAGAAAAGGTAGAGGTAGAGGTAGAAGTCGATGAACTGTCTCTGTACAATACACGCATTAAAAATGAAAGGAACGTAAAAAAAAGAGGAAAGAAATAATGATACTAATAGAAGGAGAAGTGAAATGATAATATAAAAAAAGGGAGAGCGTGAACGTGTGTGTGTGTGTGTGCGTATATGTTTTATATATATATGTCTTTGTCTATTGAATTATACATCGGCATATTGGTGCAATCCAGCCTGCCTTTCTACGAGACTCGGACTGTGGACAACTACTACACTTGTCTTCAAAACCAGTACCATCAAAATTATTATCACAGCCATTGACACTGTTGTTGAGACTGATACTGGCGTTGGTCTTGTTATTCTTCTTGCTGGCGCTGGTGCTATTGTTATCATCCCCGTCCTCCTTAATTACTGCTTCCTCCACACAAAGAGCTCTATTTCCCGAAGTCTCTGCAGTTTCTGCTGTGGATTTCTCGTGTGTTCTATTATTATCATTATCACTCTCGTTATCACTATCGTCATATTCGCCTTCATATTCGCCCACGCCTTTGTCTTTATCGTCACTGTAGCTGCCGTAGTCGTTGTCGTGAAGGACCGTTACGGCCTCTGTGTGTTGGTGATAAAAAAAAGAAGTAGAATATACATATACACACACAAAAAAAATATTACATAGCAATAATGATAGCCGCAATTACAGCAATAACAATAGAAATAATTAGAAGAAAAAAAAGAGATATAAGAAGAAGAAGAAAAAGAAAGAAAGAAAAAGTCAAGTTAGCCTACCAACATAGTTTACCAGAGATGATCGTCGACAGCTTTCAACATTCTCTGAAGAGAGTTCACCTACCCCAGAGTCATGGTGACCACGTCGCTTCATTTCTTCCCAGAGTTCTATATTTTTGTCTATTCCTTTTACAGTAAATTCCATTTCTATAGTAAAAGTATATCATACACATGACACATAGATTATTAGGTGAAAAGAGCTTACACACACATATCTATATGGACATCTTTCTTACCTGGTAATACATCTTTCACTGCGGTAAATAATTTGTAGGCTACATTACGCTTAAAAGATAACTGGAAATCTTCCAAGGGGAGTTTTCCTCGCTGGTTCATCGGTAAGACTGGCATACCTAGTTCTTTCTCTAAATCTCCCTGTTTACAAAACTCTTCTACCAATAGCTTGGCCCATTTCTCTGCTGATGAGAATGGTCTTGCCTAAACAGGTAGACATATATATAAGATATAGAAGTATAATCTTCTGTTATACTTACACAATTGCTGATATCAGCACATTTGATCAATGCTCCGCATATAATCAACCGCTCTTGTTCACATTGTCGCTCATCTTGGAAATTGATGGCATTCTTCTTTAAACGGACTGCCTGTTCTTCAACACTTTTGACATATTCCTCGTGCCGGCCCATGTCAGTGGCCAGAATACTGCTAACTACTACTTTCCGGAAAGGCACTATTGAATTTACCAATACAACAACAACAATAATAATAATAATAATAAATAGCAAGAGAGACACTTATTAATAAAACACTACATACTGTACACACTTGTACACAAATACATAATTCAAGTCCTCCCTATTTATATCTATATATATCTTATTTTCTTACCAGCAGATTCTGGATAGTTTCTGACGTCTACCAATTGTCTAAATCCATGTTGTTGTAATAAATGACAAAATGCCATCGAATGAAAGCTTTCCAGAACAGAACGATCGTTGTAAAGGATCGCAAGAGGTGTCGAGGAGTTTATCTATATATATAGATAAAGTATATTAGGTTCTTTTCTATACGCGCACACACACACACACACACACATATATATATAGATATATTCTCTTACCATAAACATGTTATTTACTCCTGGATGCCCAATATCATGGCCAACAGCTGCCATCAATAATGCAAAGGTATCAATTGGTCTCAAGAGATCTCTGGCTAAGTTTGCTATCTTTGGTCTCTTCTTGTGGGTCTCTACGGGTGTGTTTGGTAATTGAATGCAACCGATTCTGGAGAGAAAATAATAGGTGGCCTGCAACACATCAACTGCATGGCGAAAGTTGTGATAATTGTTTTCACGGTGATATGAATTACAGACATCGAACAAGAAGTTGTAAAGAGCGTCTTGTAATATAAAAGAAATATTTAAGTTCTTTGTTTAGTAGCACACTTTTAAAATTAATTCGAAAATAAAATTGCAACTCACCAGAATCGATCCGAATAGAGATCAAATCGGGATGATCCATTACTTGACTAATGATGATAAAAACACACTCTACCAATTCTCTTTCGGACAGATCCAATGTAATGAATCCCCAGTCGCAAACATACTCCTTGAGCTGTTGTTTCCTCTCACTGCAAATACAATTATTATCATTGGCCAATTGATTAATTAAATTAATTAAATCATTTATGGATTGCTTATATAAAGGAGGGTATAAAGGGAGAGAGAAAAAAAAAACAGCCAAGCTTGTACGTACGGTAATAGAGAGGTAACTGGACTCATGCGATTAAAATGTGGAAGAAAATAACCTGTAACCGTAGATGCTAGCCTAAAATTGGATCAACAACCAAAAGAATGAAAAAGAAATCAAAGAAAACAGCCCAAGAAAAATATATATATGAAAACCAAAAAAAAAAGTATTATTATTATTATTGCTGTTATTATTGTTGTTATTGTTATTGTTATTGTTGTTGTTGTTGTTGTTGTTGTTGTTGTTGTTGTTGTTGCTTTATTTGAATTCAATAGATATTTATATATTCAGATGCTAACTATTACTAGTTAGAGCTACGACTAATTACCATAGGGTTATAACTACTTCTTTAACTATAGATACTCACCAAGTGTCTCTCAAAAACACATCTTTTAATCTTTTTTCAAATGCTTTCCAAACCTTTCCATTCAGCTGAGACAATCGAGAACTGTGGTGCCATGATTGGTGTTTGCGATTGGAATGGCTGTGTTGGGCGAGATGACTTAGTTGAGAATGAAGGTGATTAGGAGAAAAAGACCCAGATTTGTTGTTGTCGTTGGGATGGTTGTTATTAGAGGAAGTAGTAGTGGTAGGGATAATGTTATTGCTATTAGTATTAGTGTTAATTGTAGTAGGAAAGTTGGGAAAAGGAGGTGTATGATGTTGTATGTTTGTTGGAGTAGTTGGAGTAGTTGGAGTGGTACCGTTTTGTGAATATGATTTTTCTAATGTCTTGTATCGATGAATGTTCTAAAAGAATATATTTTTGGTTGGTTGGTTGATTGATTAATTAATTATTTGTTGATATGCTGATATTTATGAATTCACTTACCAAAAATAATGTTTTTGTCGCATCTTTTCCAAATGGTTTGATGATAAAGTCTCTGGCTCCTTGGTTGATGCACTCGAATATAAAAGGAGGTGAATCGCAAGTAGAGCAAGCTAAAATATATATATTGTATTAGTTAATATTTGATTATTTGCTATTGGATCAATGATTTATGTTTACCAATCGGTATAATTCCATTAGCAGAATGATTTGTTGAAATAGTTCGAAGCAGTTGGAAGCCGCTGTCTTGGGGTTTCTCGGTAAAGACGAGGACCAGGATTGGTAAATGAAGAGTTGGATATTGGGTTAGTAGATCAAATAGATCTCGGTCTGTTGCAACAGTCACTGGATGAACAATTTAAATAAAATTAAACATCAAAAAATCAATATAAATTAAAAAAATATATTAAAGTAAAAAAAAAAAGAAAAAGAAAAAGATGAGGTGAGTTTGAGGTTGAAGTTAGGTTAGGTTAGGTTAGGTTAGATTAGATTAGGTTAGGTTAGGTTAAGCAAAGCAAGGCAAAGCAAGGCAAAGTAAGGCAAAGTAAGGCAAGGTAAGGCAGATTATAACAAGTTGAGATATACACTATCCTTGGCTATTATCTCTCTCATTTGGAAATGAAATATATAACTTTATCCATAATATATATTACAGCTATTTACCTTGTCCAAATATTGACCTGAGCTCAGATAAATATTTGTCCGTGGGAGAGATGTGTGGGTCGATAAGAAAGACAGAGCAAAGAGGCAAATTCATGGCTACTAAATGACTTGGGACTTTTGGTTCCAAAGAAAGAAAAAAATATATCCAAAGACAGACAAGTAGATAAAGCGTTGTGTTTATGTTGTGTACTGGTTTTATGACAAGTAATGATTGTGAATGTGGTATGTAGTGTGAGTATTGTTGTTATCAAAAAGTGTAATGGTAATGAAGTACTAATTTGTTTGTTAATTGGTGGCTTTTTGGCTACTACTGGCTACTCCCTTTATTCCCATTTTTGTATATGTGTCTTTTCTTTACTTTTCATTACCTCTTTTCTTTACTTTTCTTTATTTTATTTTATAAAATATATTATATTATAAAAAAGAGACAAGGGACGCCGGTGAGAATTGCACTAATGAACAGTAACAATAATGGAACTCGAAATGGAGAAATGTATATATAAAGTAAGTCTAATGGAGGTTTCTTTTTCTTTTTCTTCTTTTTCTTCTTCTTCTTTGGCTGTTGCTTCTGCTGGTAGTGGTGCTGACAGTGGTGGTAGTGGTAGTGGTAGTGGCAGTGCTGCTGCTGCTGGTAGTAGTAGTAGTAGTAATATTATTATTCTTTGGTGATGAGAAGAAGAAGAAAAAAAGAAAAAAAAAGAAAGAATTATAATTAAAATAAAACATATTTTATTTTATATATTTTTTTCTTTTTTTTGTCTCATTTAGTTTTTTTGATATCGGAATTTTTTTTATTATACGTTTTTTTTTCTATTTAAAATATTTGTTATATTTTTGTTCTGCCTTTCCTTATTGCCTTATTGCCTTACTGCCTTATTGCTTTTTGGCTTCTTTTCTTTTTTGGTTTCTTCTTCTTTTAAATATATTTATATTATAATTTATTTATATACATAAAAAAAAAGGCCACGCGACAAAATAATGATTTGGACGGTTTGATTGGATGAGCGATTAAATGCTTGTCAACCCAAAAGTAGAAAAAGAAGTATTAGTAGTAGAAGTAGAAGTAGAAGTAGTAGTAAGATCCAATATATCTATATTTTATTTGATCAATACTTTGTCTTGTAATTTATTCATACATTTGACCATTTTCTAGAAAGATCAAATTCCAGTCTATTTTTTTCTTTGTTTGCTATCTCTATGTATTGATTTAATAAGACAAGTATATATGTACACACAAGATCAAGTTACTTGATTCAAATCTAATTATTACAGATAAATGATTGATTTATGCCGCCACAGTAGAATCTATATTAAAACTGAGAAAATAATATTATTGTTATTATTTATATTATACTATTATATAATTAATATATATTTATTTGATCGAGTGATTAACTGAATTGATTCAATACCTGATATCATTCTTGTTTAAACTACAAGACAAGAAACTACAAAAAATTGAAACAAAAGGTTTATCCGTAAAGAATTAGAATATTATAGTTTGGAGACCACTTCTCACGCGATTACAAGGTTTGATGACAACACATCTTATCTTGGCTCTTTTCTTATTCTAATATTCAATTCAATAGCATACAAGTCCCTGTTTTGTTTTTATTTTTGAATACAATAGAAAATATCGGTATTTAATATGTAGTATAGTCAATCAAGCAATATTCACAGAACTTCCTCTACTCTCTTTTTCACATGGATAAATTAATAGCAATCTATATTATCCCCACCAAATAAAAAAATAATGTTTTTCAAAGGCATTGAAATAAGTAACCCAATATTAATAAAGGCCAGTGCACAGCTACACAAATTGTAAAATGTCTGTTGTTCTGTCCAAGCCATATATGTATTCTTTTTGATCCTGATAACATAAAATTAAAAAATTAAAAATTAAAAATATGAAATTTCACCACCCCTTCCAAAAAAAACGTCTGATTCCTGTGACGTGATTCGACACAATAAAGAACGCGAAAAAAGAAAGAGGGGTATATTTGCGGAAATTAGTCTTGTAGGGTATTTTTGCTATTATATTTTTACTATTATGTTTGTGACTGTCTATGCTTTTGATGGCTATAAATGTATATAAAAAAAAAGGACAAGGAACCAAGTCCTATCTTTTGTACCTGTTTTTTTTAATATATATATTTCTTTATCTAATACTGACAAAAGAAGTACCTTTGACGTTTCTATTATCCAAGACTAATACAAATACGAACAATAAATACGATGGCTGCCTATAAGCGTATCCAATTTGAAGAAATCCCAACATCCCCTCTTGGAAAATGTGTTGGTATGAAAGATACCAAAAAGAAAACAAAACAATATATCGTTTTTCTAAATACCTTTATTTGAAAATATCCATAGATTTGGCCAGTTCTGCTCTTGGTAGTACCATCGTAGCTGTAACCGATGAATTCTTTGCACCTGCCACAAACATGATTAACCCGGCACCACCCGTTCATGCTCCTGGAAAGTTTATTGGTAAGTATTATGGGTCATGTCTATTTATTCAACTACTAACAAATAAAATCAAATTAAATAAAGATACTGGTGCATGGATGGACGGCTGGGAGTCGAAGCGTCACAACCCAACTTATGATTGGTAATAACAAAATAACAAAAATAACAAGAGATAAGCTTATCTATATTCTTCTTGTATTAATTAATTTATCTATCTATTTTTCTGTAGGGCAATTATTAAACTCGGTTTCTCAGGCTCATTCCGAGGATTTGATATCGATACCCATTATTTTACTGGTAACCAGGCACCTGCTGCGTCTGTTGAGGCTGCATTTGTACTCGATGGCGATGTCCAGAGCAAGGACACCAAGTGGACCGAAATCCTGCCCCGCGTAGATCTTCCCCCGAGCTGTCACAATGTCTTCTTGCTCGAAAAAGAAACCGCCGTCTACACCCATCTCCGTCTCAACAATTTCCCCGACGGCGGCATTGCTCGTTTCCGTGCCTATGGCAACGTCAGTCCCATCTGGCCCCAAGACACATCGTACGTACATATACATTTCTTATAAGAGAATAGAAGCAAAACAGAATCATGACAATAAATCGAAATATATAGATGAAGATAATAGAAGAAGAAGATAAAGTGAATAGGTTATATTATTTCTTTATAATTCATAACACACACACATGCATGCATATACATACATACACACACACATATATATATAAACTTAGCATCTTTAATTCTTCTTTGTTTATAATTTAATAGTGCAATTCTTGATCTTGCATTTGTTGGAAACGGCGGTCGCGCAGTCGATGTCAGTAACCAGCACTACACCCCTGGAAGCAACCTTTTGTTGCCCGGTCGCGGACAGAACATGGGAGACGGCTGGGAGACAAAGCGTTCGCGTGTGCCCGGCCACTCTGACTACGCCGTCATCCGTCTTGGCGACAAGGGCCACTTGTTAAAAGCCGAAATCGATACCTCTCACTACAAAGGAAACTACCCCAACAAGATCCTTTTGGAAGCAACCAACGTAGGCAACGACGAGGTGCCCGGTCCAGATGCCCAGTGGACCACTCTTATTCCAAAGTCCAGCGTTGGGCCTCACAACCTGTTTTACTTTGACTTGCCTCATTCGGACAAAGTATTCACTCATGCCAAGATTACCATTATCCCCGGTAAGTCCAACATTTAAATTTAAATTTAAATTTCTTCTTTTGTTTTTCTTTATTTTCTTTTCTTTAATATTAAAATATTCATTTCATGCGTGTGTGTGTGTGTATGTGTTTGTGTCTTTATAGATGGTGGTCTGAAACGTGTTCGTCTCTATGGTGTTCGTGAAGGTGGAAAGATCCCAGCTCTTCCTATTTCCCTTCCAAAATTGTAATTCATCTAGGCACTATGAGCGGGTGTACACATCATATATAATTTAAACAGTAAATAAAAATGCAGATGCAGATGAAAGAAAGAGAATAAGAGTATATATATAAATTTGTGCGTGCGTGTGATTTCAGTTGCTTGTTTGCTTGTTTGCTTGTTTGCTTGTTTGCTTGTTTGCTTAGTTGCTTATTTGTGTGCGTGTGTGTGTGTGCTGGTGCTGGTGCTTGTGCTGGTAATGTTAATGGTAATGGTACTTGTATGTTTATTAGACCTGCATTAATGGTTTGAAAGAAAAGATTTATACATTTTGAAATAATAAATAAAGAAATATGCATATATATATATATATAGTAGATATAGATATATAGCAGCAAAACTGAAGAGCAAATTTACGAAATTTTGTGTGTGTATATGTGAAAAATAGAGAGAAAGAGAGAGAATCTATATATTTGTATATTTAAAAATAATTATAAACGTTTTATACAATGTTGTAGTATCTCATAAGCATAGTAGATCCAACGCAGAATATCAAAATTGACAGCATTATGGAAGTGAACCAGGTCAAGTCTTCCTATTGTTATCATTAATCAAACTTCATTAATCAAATTGCTTTTTCAAATGGTAAACATTATTGTTATTTCTTCTTTAATAGACTTACTTGAAATTGACCTGGTACTTGAACATTCATTCCCCAAAGACCAGTGACAAGATTCATTGGGACCAGTATACTACCGAGTGCAGTCAACTTTGACAAGATGTCATTGATTTCATTATTAGTTTGAGTCATTTCAATTGATATCTGGGCAAGGTAATTCGAATGAGATCGCGAGGAAATCTTTTCGTAATGATTAAGAGATTGTAACATGGTAATTATGTGATCTAATATATCATACAAGAACATTAATATCAAAGTCAATATAATTATACAATTGCATATATTTTTTACTTACCTTGGACATCTCCAAGATATAATGCAACCTCATTACTCAATGCTGGTCTAGTACCGTCTATTTGTTTGACCTCGCCTCGCTTTATCAATGTCTTTACAACATCTGCTTTGGTAACCAAGAGTCTCAGTAGACTCATCATCTTCTTTCGACAGTAGCCAATCCGCCTCAACATATCTGACTGCTCCGACTCTTTTAGGATGAGAACCAGCTCGTCAATTGAGTCCACTTCAAACTCTACCGCCCTAATCAAAGGAGCGAATGAATCTGTAATGTCATCCAAAAGACCATAACATATCCAATCTAATATTCATAAATATGGTCAGGATCAGCTATACATTTTATTGTTTGCGTTGTTTTATTCTTCTTTTGTAACTATCTATCTATCTATAGGCTTTTTATTTATTTATTTATTTATTTATTTGTTTTCCGTTTTACCTGGTGTGACATTGATGTAGTCTTTGAGTTGTTTTATTCTCTTTCGAACGTTGTGCTGATGAGGCATTGGACGAAAATGGAACTATTTGGAAAGATAATCATCATAAGAATCACAAGCCTCTTTAGCTCCTTCTCCTTTGCTGCCTGGACTTGTATTTAAATATATGCGTAAACATACCGTCAGTACACCTTCTTTGAGAACCACAATGTAGAGTGCACTTGGAGAGAGATACGTTGGAGAGAATTGGTCTTGGTCAAATGTACGGAAACAAATGAAGTAATAGTTTTTGAACACTTCGCACTTTTCTCGCTGTTCTTCCATACTAATATCCTCGGCTGTTAGGGGATGAATCCGAAATATCTAATGTTTTGTTGTTATTATTTATACAACACAACACAGTACATCAGAAATAGGATATTATTATTATTAGCTATCTAGCAGTCAATCAGTCTATCAGTCTATCAGTATGCATTTCTTTCTTACTGAACTCAACGCCCGCATTTCCTCATCTGTAGGATCCAGGATATCTATCCAGAAACACCCCTTTTTGATCATTGTGCTCAGCTTCTCTCCACGCATAGGAATTTCACTAAATGATCGTGCGTGGATAGTAGCAGGTTCGTCAGGAGAAAAATATGTAAACCGAAATGGATCTGATTCTTGCTGACCATTCTGATACTGTTATTTAATATATATATATATATATATATATATAATATTAATGAATGAATGAATATACACATAAACTTTACTTTATTTGTTGTTGTTGTTTTCTTTCTTTTTTTCTTTCTGCACTTACTTTTAGCATGTCAGCATATGAACTACGTCTGTTATCTGGTGCTCCCATAGTTGACAGCCTCCGACAATGTTTTCTAGTTCCGCCAAGAGCAGCAGCAGCACCACCAGTGCTGTTGTCCTTATTCAGCTTGGTCTGGTCCATCATATCATCATTTTCTTTCTCGATATAGGCTTCCATTGCGTCAAAATCAATTCCGGTATCTTCGCCTTTACTAGAAGGTGGGAAACATACATCGCCTTCAATCGAGTCTGCCTTGGAGCTAGTATCGACATCAGACCCATAAAGTGTGTTTCCATCGTGAACTGAGCAAGTTGGATTCAATACGTCTCTTTTCAACGAGTCATTGGCAGTGTTGCCATTTGTAGTGCTTGTGTTGTTATTTGGACTGCTCATGTCAATTCGTATGTCATTTGAAATCTGAGAGGGTGATGTACTAAAGTAACCCGTTGGCTGATTGTGACTGACGTCTTGTCTTCTTTGACCAAAGCTAGCCTAAGTTGTTGTTAGTGTTTTTAGTATATATATATATATATAAAAGCAAGAAAGACTTATTTAACATTATTTATAATTGCTACTAGTTATTTACATCAACTGATTCTGGGATTGATGAATAATGTGATTGACCAAAGAATCTGGTTCGTGGTTGATAGGGGGATGTTGATTCCTCCAAGGTGTCATTGGTAGTTGCCCCGTAAGAAGAGTGAGGATTATCTGTTCTCTTTTGCTGACGCTTCTTTGATCTTCCCATATTATTTCAAGATATTTAAAATAAGGTAAAGAAGAAGAAATTTGTTTGAATATATGTTTATACAAGTACTTGAGATTTATTAATTAATTAACTAGCTAATTAATAATAATTACTCTAAAAATCACTTTATTAATCAACTAAAAAACAACAACAACAAAGAAGTAGAAAGAGTAAAGAAGTAAAGAAATATTATAGATATAATATAATATATAGAAATAAATATAGAAATAGAAAAATGTGTAATTTATAAATCTAGAACCTTGTCTCGATAAAGGAAGGGGAGCTAAACATGATTTTAAAGCAGTCACAGCGCATGAATGAATAAATGAATAAATGAATAAATGAATGAATGAATTTGAAATTAAAGTGATTTCATGATTAAACGTGTGTGAATAAAAATAGGGTTGTTGCCCAGGCTTGAGATGGATCTAGATTTCTTTTGAGGGAATGGAGAACCAGTGTAAGAAGTCTGCCCACTCTTGAGCCCTTGCTCTCCTCCCTCTTATATATATATCTATATATCTATATAGTAATTATTGTCCTTTTCTTTATTATTCTTTAATATTATTTCCTTTTCAAGACGAGCTTATTTTTAGATTCGTACTCTTTCTTCCATAAATATAAAAGGGTTTGATTGTGAAAGATCTCGGTAAACGGGTTAATTATCGTGGATTGAGAATTATATGTATATATGTATATATTTTAAAATAAAATAAAATAAAATAAAATAAAAATCATTCAACACTTTAAATGATTCAATATACTTTTGGTATTGTAATATTTCCCTTGTGCCCAATAGCAAGTCAAACAGTCTCCTGTAAATAGATTATTGTCTATAAAATAGATAAATTGAGTGTGATTAGAACAATTCCTTCCTGATCATCTAATTGGTTGTCGATAGAAAACTCTAGCTTACTGTTGTTCTGTCTGAATTGAACCGGGTTTGAGAATAAAGAAGGTTTCCCATGCTGTCGTAACACAAGCTTACGGATCAATTTGGCATTCACCATTGCCTCCAACAAGTCTTGGAGTTCACAACTCTCCAGTATCTTTTCAAATTTAATTTTCAAACCAGCCTACAAAAATATTAAAGTTAAATAGATAAATAAATGCATATGTATATATATATATCAAGAGATGTATAAACCTTCCCTTCCATTCTCCCCTCCTCTTTAGCTTTGATTTTTTTTGATTTTTAAAATGTATTTGTGTTTCTTACCAGAGTAATTCCTGGGTGAAGCAATATCTCTCCAAGCACAGTATCGGCGCACCCAACAAAGGCTATGTCGACTCTCTTGCCAGAAACATCATTCCACATCCTAACATCACTTTCCTTGCATTGTGATCCACCCAGTTCCCATTCTGAACTAAATTCTTTCAAGACCAGTCGATTTGATCCATATCCAACCTTAACAACGGCCTGAGGATCACAGGCTATCAATTGGTCAATCGATCGATCGATAAAACTTTGATCGATTGTCAATGTTTTTTCCTGTTTTTGTATAACATATAAAAAGAGAATGTCAGAAAATAAAATTCTTAAAAAAAAAGAGGGGGTATTCAAACCAAACTAACCTTGATTTCTGTCCTTTTTATTCCGTTTACTCCACTTGATTTGATGAATTGATAAATCATTCCAACTAAAGGTTCCTTTTTTACAAGTTTATCCACCGATTGTTTTTTTGGTGCGCCTGCCAAGACTTGACCTTGTTTCCTCTTCTTATTTTTCTTGTTATCGTTGTTATCGGGTTTTTGTGGGACGACTGGATTTGTGTGAAAAGAATCCGTCCTTGACACAAGCATATCTATTCCATCGCTAATCCAGAGCTCACACAGTTCAACTATAATATAAAAACGAAGCAAAAAAAAAATCATATCAGTATAACTAATGAACTAATGAACTAATGACTTACTATAATGTCTTTTTGGATAAGCCATGAGTGCCTTTTTACGAATTAAACCATCCTGATCGACCATATTAAGTTTCGCCTAATCAAACAAGTATTTTCTTTAGTATCAGTCTTCTTATTCATATTATTACTCTTCAATTACTCTCATGATTTACCTTTTTGGCTGAAATCATTCCAAAAATTACAGCCATTTCTCCAGATGTAAGATAAGGATGTATTAATATTTCTTTGCCAATCTTGTTTTCATATGCCTCTGCATTAATGAGCATTTTGTACGGCAATCTCCCAGAAAGTATCTTAAGAGCTCTAATATATATATATATATATATATGTTTATTAAATTAAAATCTCACTTTGTCCTTGTATTACTTTTCTTCCTTTTCTTCTTACCTTTCAGATATATTTAATGTATATCCAGGGATTCTTCTGCACTGACCAATCCTTGTGTACGAAATACAATCATACGTTCTTAGTCTCTCGATAGCGAGATAGATTTTATCTTTTTCAAGGCATTGTATTAAAGAGAGCACTTTGGCCATCGAATATACTGAATTTGGTGTAATAAGAATTTTCTATGAATTATTATCATTATCATTATCATTATCATGAAAATAAATAAATAATATTAGTATTGGTAGCAGTGAGATATATATATATGGCTTGACTTACCTTTATAATAATAGAAATGTAAATAAGCATGTTGTCAGAAACAGATCCTTCCTTGTCATCATCATCACACGAATATTCTGTATTGGCATACAAAGTGTATGTTCTATATACGTTGAACCGCTTAGAAATATCCGGAGGTTTTCTACTCCACTCGAATACTTCTTTGAGTGACTCGGTGTCCTTGGGAAGTTGAAAGACTGGTATGGCATTCTTCTTTCTCCTATACAAACAAATCACGAAAAGGACAAGTATCAAACAAAGAGTTACAATCTTTCTTCTTCTTATTCTCTTCCTTTCTCAAATGAAATATAAGTATATAGACAAAAGAGGTCCTTACATTAATAATTCTGTAGTTTCAGGCAATTTCTCCAGAAAGTATTCGAGGTGTGATCTCAAGTCATACTGTACAGAATCAAACGGTAAAGGGTCGTAGATGTCTCCTTTCTGGATTCCTTGTTCATATATGTGCCCCCAAATTTCCTGGAGTTCTTCTAGATGCTTGTTGAATGTCGGATCATTTTTCATCAGGCGTGCAAGCGTAGACCGGCATTGAACAGGGCTTCTGTTGGGTAGAATAGACCTCAAGGGTGCCCAAGAGCAATTTCTTAACTTGGTTCTGTACCTCATGATAGCATAGCTGTAAATCAGCGCGTCTTTCTCGAGCGTGGACCATACGGCGACATTTCTTCCCGCCCCGTTCGTGAGTAACGATCTATTGATGTCTTCGATAGTGCCGATTTTGTCATCATCTTTATGGTTAGTCAGGTCAGTTGCGTCATTGGCCTGGTGTCTGATAAACGCTCTACTGGCCACAAAGGTTGGTTTATAGTTGGGGTGGACACCTTTGTCATTAGAAGTGATTGCATCCACCTTTCCGCCACTCTGAGATATACTGATCAGACTTTTGACAGACTCAGGAATTGAATTTTTTGTGAGCCCTAGTCGCCCGTTATGCTTTTGCGCCCTTCTCCCCCGAAGAATATCGACAAGTGTACTATAGTAGCGTCTGACTCGCTTGACCCGCATATCGATCGTTCGTGCGATATGGACCATCGTCTGGTTGTATTCACGACTGTCGAGCACCAAATCTTTGACTAGTGCCGTGTTTTTTTTTAGGTACGCCTCCTGCTCTGCGGACATGATGTTATCGGACTTCCAGGTGGATGGCAGGACAATGGAGTACAGCTTGTCATCATCGCCCCTTTTGGCCGTTATTCTGGAAGTGCTTATAGCGTAGAATCTGGTGCACAGATCCTGGAGGTTTTCCCAAAATTCCTTGGCATCTTCCGCAGTCTCCAGAGATTCTTTTCGCAAGATGGGGTAGTTAGGTATAGAGTAGTTCCGTAAGTAGCCGGTCCGTAGCAACTCGACATTAGGGAAAATGTAGCCCGGATTCGGGTGGACCTTGATCAGCTCAAGCTGCTCCAAGACATTCGTCATATTGCTTATACATGCACGCACTCTCCGTTCCACCCGGATGATATTTGCTCGGAGCTGCGGGTCGACTTTGTCCATAGTAGTACCATCCTTGCACATCTGAGGAATTTCTGGTATGTCCTCAAACACACCTATACACTTGCAGTAGGTTAAGACAGGCATTGCTTCTAAAGCCTTGCTGACGTTGAGTATACGAGATCCGGTTGATTGATCATCACTACAGCAGCTTTTACTACTACTACTACTACTACTACTACTACTACTACTACTACTACTACTACTACTACTACTACTACTACTACTACTACTACCAGCAGCAGCAGCAGCAGCAGTAGTAGTAGTATCGCCATTTTCCCTTTCACTTTCAATATTAATATTACTACGGTTTGCTTGTTGTTCTGCGAGTGCTCTGTAAAAGTAAATGTGGAGTTCCTTTGCTCTCAGCCACTTTGAAACGCTCCATCCATATATCTGGCCTTGGATTCGGTAGAGTGGACTTGAATAGTTTATGACCTTTTCAATCGGCTGGATTCGCTCGATCGGAGTCTCCACAAATCTGACAGGACGAATTAAGCGACTGTTGGCCATTATTGTCTTCTTTACTCGAGCCCGAGCTAGAAAATCTTTGAAGACTTGGTCGGTTTGAGAGACATCAGGATGCAGATAAAAAGTTCGTTTTTCGACACTGCTTCCAGAACTAATCTTCTTTTTCTTATTCTTATTTGCTTTATCTTGAATACCATCGGGTTCGTCTGTATCGTCGTACTCATCGTATTCTCCTGGAGCAGGTGCTGAAACTGTCACGGTGATTTTGCGAATCTGACCAGAATCGGCCAACTGGTTCATAAGCCTGATCATGGTTTTGCGCACAATGCCATTGGCTGTGCCGGTCTTGACCTCACCACCGTTGATGTACTCTCCAAGCTCCTTGTTGACTTCGCAGATCCTCTTTTCAGCAACGTATTTTAGGGCTAGTTTATTGCGGACTTCTGTTGACATATTTAAAACCGGCTTGCTCCATCGTCTATAGCGTTTACGGGTTGGAGTGGCGTTGGGTGTTTTGGCGTTTAAGGTTGCGGTGGCGGTGGCGGTGGCAGCTGAGGTGGCGTAGTCTAAAAGTTCTACTCCCATAGACGACTCCTTGTCGTCCATGATCAAATTACTACCGTTGCTACTAGTATCATTACTAACATATTTATTCTGTTTTTCAGAGGAATCATGATATTCGATATCTTCTTTTGCCACTGTATCGAATGATCGCTTTCTTTTGCTAGTATCTGGAAAAGACTGGACAACTATTTCATGTTCGGGTTCGGGTTCAAGTTGGAGTCCTGATTCGGGTTCAAGTTGGAGTCCTGATTCGGGTATGGATTCGGGTTTATGTGCAAGGTTTGGTTCAGGTTGAGGTTGATCTTTGTTTGCGTTTTCTCTCGTGCATTTTCGTTTTCGCTCTGATGTTTCAGAATAATCACTATGATTATGTTCAGAATCTGACCCATTGGGATTACCAACCGAGTCCGAAAGTATTAATTCTATTTGGCGTTGCTTCCCTTTTTGTGGCTGTGGCTGTGGCTGTGGCTGTGATTGCCATGGTTGGTCTGTGGTTATTATTTGTGTAAACTTTCTTTTGGATGATAATCCCATTTCGAGTTTCGGTTCCTCAGACTGTGGCTCTTCTGCTTCTGCTTCTATTGTCTTTTCTGCTGTTAATGATGTTAATTTTTCAGGCGTGTCTTCTTTTTCAGGTGTTGATGAGATTGTTAAAGGCAAGAGTGCGAGTTGTTCCTTGGATCGCGTACTCGATGTTTGCTTTGCCTGTTCTGGTACGGATTTTGGAAAGAAATAGTATTGTATACCCCTGCGGCTATTTATATTGACTGGTAATGCTGATGTCGATGCTGGTGCTGATGTTAATGAGGGTGATGATAATGATGCTGATGCTTGTGCTGTTATTAATGAGGGTGGTGATACTGATGCTGATGCTTGTGCTGGTGTTAATGAGGGTGGTGATACTGATGCTGATGCTGGTGCTGATTTTAATGAGGGTGCTGATGATGACGAGGATTCTATTAATTGTGTTATTGCCATAGACGTTGTCGCTGGTACTGATTCTAATGGTGATGCTGGTTCTGGTATTAATTCTTGTGTTGATAATGATGATAATGATGACAGCGATGATAGTGATGATAACGATGATAACGATGAAACCGATAAGGCTGGTGATGATGCTCGGCAAGAGTTGTATGTTGTTTGCGCGGCAAGAGACTCAGTAGGCGCTGCAGCAACAGTGGATGTGGTAGTAGTAGTAATAGTGCTATTATTTAAGGTGAAATCAGTGAAATTGGCGGTAGTGTCTGTAGTGTCGGTAGTAGGAATAGTATTATCATTATTATTAAAGGTAAAATTAGCGAAATTAGAGGTAGTGTCGGTAGTGTCGGTAGTGTCGGTAGTAGTAGTAATTTCTGTTATTGTTGTTGTAGTAGTAGTAGAAGCGATATGATTTGTTGAATCCGCTGGCTTGAGAATATTTTTAGTATTTGGGAGTTCGTTTGCTTCTTGATCTATATCCATTGGTACGGACTCATTTTGTTTTATAGGCGTTTCTTGTGTGGCAGATGTATTATTTTCGTCGTTGCTATTGTTGTTTGTTGTGTTTGCTCTTGCTCTTGCTCTTGATCTTGTACTCCTTTTATTCGTATTCGTATTCGTATTCACATCCAAGTCCACATTCACTCCTACGCACACGTCCGTTTTCTTCTTCTTAGCCCTTTTCTTGGCAGGTACAGACACCGGTTTATTTTTTTTTGCGGGGTTTTTTCTTCTTGATTTCCAGTCAGAAGTTTCTAAAGGCGGACTGCTGTATATTGAAGTTGGTTCTTCGAGATCCTCATACTCGATATAGACGGCTTCTTCTCTTTTGGGCAATTCATGGCTGATGGTCTTCATATACTCATACCATCCCTCCTGACCATAGTATTTAAAGCAAAGGTTCTTTCCGATGATAACCTTGCCTTGGTGGATTTTGTGCTGTGGAGTTTTTGAATCCATCATGGATATTATGTTTAGCAAGATTTTTTTCAAGTGGTAAAAATCCATTGAAGGTACTAAGTTTAAAAGTTCCTAGTATAAATAATAATAAAATGAATATATATATATATATAGTATTAGAACAATACAATACAATACAATACAATGCCGTAGCCTCTTCTTTCTTTCATTCTTTATTTACCCTTCGTGTTATGCCTTTCTCTTTTGATTCTTGAATGTGCTTGTATACCAGGTATTCTAAAGGTACATCGGCCCAGGCATTAATTTCTAAGTCTGGATTTTTATTAAAGTCCTTTGCTACAAAACAATCAAAGTTTTGTTTTGGGCTTTTTTCAATTTGATCTTGATTTGAATCTTTATCTATTTAAAAGAAAGATTATATATTTATATAAGTGTGTGAGTGTTTGATAATAGCAATGACGATTAAGATATATATATATATATAAGAAGCAGTACCTGTACATGGCTTGATTAATCGAATGCACACAATTCGACCTTCTTTTGAAAGCACTTTGAGTTTTTCAATAATTCCTAGTTCTTCTAGTCTGCTAATATATGATCTGCTCCACTTGACTTCCTGAAATGTGCTGAAACCCTTGAAAAAAAGAAAAATATTCGACGTTAATAATATATATATATAATATGCATTATTTGCTTTATAAACTTAATAATTAATAAGAAAAAAAAATCAAAGGGGGTGGCAAACTTACAAATGATGAAGTTATATCTGACAAAGCCATTGTGTGATCTGGAGCTTTTTCAAGCATTTGTGACAAATGTTCGAGAACGTTTGAACGTAAAATGGTTCCATCTTCGCGAATTAAACCTGGTTTCTCGTTTTTTGTGGAGCTTTTTTTGTCTAATTGACTTTTGGGTAATTTGTGATCCTTGATTTCTGAGAGGAATCGAGTGTGGTAGCATAGGTTTGTATAACCGCCTTTTTTTGTAACACCAATTTTTGTACTATAATTTCCAGATACGGATATATATATATGTGCATGTATATATGCATGTATTAGTATGTATACAAGTCATTAATATTGTTTTGGAATAAAATCTTACACTAGTCCTAGATCAATCAAAGTCTTTAAGTTATGGAACACCCCGCGTGAATCAAGTTTAAAGTCTTCTGACAGCTGTATCTGTGTCACACCAAGTTGACGTCCGGCTGCAATTGTCTCCAGCATATCGTAGCGTAGACCAGTAGGAAATTTTGAACCGACCTATGACAGTAACCAAATATATATATAAATGCATTGGATTGTTTATAAAAAAAGAATCATTACTAATATTGTTATTATTTTGAAGGGTTGTATTACCGATATGCCATGAGATAATATATTTATTCGAATCTCTTCAATTGCTGTAATTCGAAAAGAGTCTCCAAAATCCTCAATTATTTTACTGTATGGAATTGATGCGATATCGAGCGTATTCGATGGACTATGATCCTAAAAATATATATATATATATATATATATATATGTATTTTTGTATGTTCCCTCTTTTCTTTTAACACAAATATTTTATATATATATACACACACACAGAAAGGACTTTATATTTCTTCTTCTAGTTTCTTGTTTTTAATCTATATAAATGTATATAAATGTATGTACCAATGAGAACAAGAGTCCATTGAGCTTTGAAATATAAGGCCACAAGTAGCTTTTGTATTTATCGTCTAATTTGAATGCCAATGGAGTACATCCTTCATCGATTGTTTGCGAAATGTAGGTCTGTCCCGAATTCTCAATAAATGACCAGAGTTTGTCAAGGTTGCAGCCTATTGGTATTATTATTGGTTTTTTTTGTTTTGTTTGAAAGAAGTTGGATCGAGTATAATGAAGAGTAATGAAGAGTAATGTAGTGTAATATAGTGTAATTAAGAGTAATCAAGAGTAATGAAGTATAATGACGTGTATTGATTCAAAAGAGAAATGATAATTGACGACAAACAAGTACAATTGATAGAGTTTGAAATATGTAAAATGTATAGAAGCTGTCAAATAACTCTGCATATGTATAATGTAGTATTGAATGAGACAAAAAGAAAAGAAGTATACCTTTTCGGCCTTCTACTGCTATGTCCTCGACTATTGATGATAATAGCTTATCAAACATAATATATTATATAGTAGTAATAAAAAAAATAAAAAATAAAAACAAGAAGAAGAAGAAGAAGAAGAAGAAATAAACTTCTTTTATATATATATATACCATTTCATATCATTTTATTTCCTTTTTTTGACAAGACTTTTGTGACTTGATAATATGAATTTACGGTATGAGTTTTTTTTGTTTTTTTTTTTTTTTTTTTTTTTCATTGACATATAAAACTGTAATAATTTACTATGTATTATTATTATTTTTTATTGAAAACAAGCAAGGAATGCAATACATATTAAATATATTGGTTTGTTGTTAATTGCATCAATATTATAATTTACTGTGAATTTAAAATACTAGAAATTGCTTTTGTCTTTAATTGTTATTTATTATTCGTCTTTTTTTTTTAAAAAAGTATAAATGTATAAGAATAAAAATAAAATAGAGAGACAAAGTAGAGATAAATAATTAGCAATAGGTATTTGTATAGAGAATCTCGGGGCTCTTGAAGCCATTGAACTGGGAGGAAGAACAGACGGTGTAAGCACCCATGTTATTCCAGTAGAGCCAGTCACCTTCCGACAGGAGAGGAAGGGTGGTCTTCTTGTTAAGACAGTCAATCGAATCGCAGGTAGGGCCCCAAACACTACATTCGTAGTGTTTTTCTTCAAGTTCTTCGCCATACGCAAAATGGCCGTCCTTTGCCAACACTATTATTATTATTTTTTAAAAATAAATAAATGGTATTTAATAAAATCTTGTTCTTTATCCATTCTACCTATATTTTCTCTCTCTCTCTTTATACATAAACCCCCGAAAACTTTCTTTAAAATTTTTTTTTTTAAAAAAAACTCACCATGAGGTTGGACTACTTGGTGATCAAAGATGATGCAGTTGAATGAACCATACATGCCGTCATTTACATAGTACATAAAGCTAGGTTGTTCATTGTTGATCTTGGATCGACGGGCAATGATGTTTGTACAGACAGTGAATGCAGAGGCAACAAAGTATCTTCCGGGCTCAGCAATGACACGGATGTTGGGAGGGAAGAGGGCATCGACGGTAGGACCAAGTACGGCAGCAATCTTTTCAAACGTAACACCATCTGTGACATCGGCACTAGGGAAACCACCTCCGACATCGAGCAAGGAGAAGTTGAAGCCCATTGCCTCAGCCTTGTCAAATACACCACGGGCCAGGTTGACTGCCTCGCTAAAGGCATACTGATCATAACAACCACTACCAACATGGAAACTATAATAATAATAAAGATTAATAAATTAAAGTTTCTTTTTTTTTTTAAAAAAAAAATTATAAGAATTATTTACCTGACACCAATGACATTAAGGTCGAGATCTTTAGCAGTCTGGAGAAGATGGTCAACTGTATCCAGGGGAGCACCAAACTTGATGCCAAGCTGACAAAGGGACTTTGAGTCATCGGTCAGGATGCGCAAGACAAGTTCGGCATTGGGGTAAAACTTTTTGATCTTGTAGAGTTCGTCGGCATTGTCAAAGGTCATCTTGGCCACGTTTTGCTGGGCAGCATAACGAATGTAGGATGCCTGTTTGCAAGGGTTGGCGTAGATGATGCGGCTAGGGTCAGCGCCGGTTTCCAAAGCAATCTGGATCTCGGCCTTGCTTGCACAGTCGAATCCCAGACCAAGTGATTGCAAGAGTTTGACGACCATTGGATCAGGGTTAGATTTAACAGCTGTCAATTATTATTATTATTATTATTTTAAAAAAAAGTTGTGTGTTGATTAGAAATACAATTATAATTTATTTATTTATTTTTTAAAAAAAATTAGAGATACTTACCAAAGAATGGTTCGATTCTGGGCAAGAGGGCTTTCCAGCGAAGGAACTGGCGGTAGACTTCACCAATATCACCGACAACAAAGGCATTTTCCTGGTCAGATTCCCACTTGAGCTGGGAGATCGAATCGAGCTTTTGTTTGATGGCGTCTTTGACCGACACACTAAGGACAGGGATGTTGGGGAGTCTTGCGGTTTCTAGGGTCTTGGAGACCATGGGAGAGTCGCAACGCTGGTTGAGGACAATAGTATCGAGTTCGGTGTGCATGACAGAAAAATGAAAAGGTTGGATAGAAGAAACAGAAAAAAAAACTTTGGTTGTGACGCGAGCAAGTTATTTTTTGAGCTTGTTTGTTTTGGTTTTGGTTATTATTTTTGTAAGAAAATAATAAGAAAATGTATGTTGAAGTATGAAGAAATAGAGATAATATAGAGATAATATAAACTAGATAAGAAAATAATAATAAGAATAGTAAACTAAGGATGTCTATCTATTGTTGTTGTTGTTTTCTATCAGCAGATTCAGGCGTGCCAAGGGGGGAAACCTCGCCGGTTGAATAAGCTATTTAAAAGTCTTTTTTCTGAAGACGTGATGGGCTAGACCGGACTGAAGAGTGACAGCCCAGGAACAGTGAAGTTTGTTTGAAAAGGTAAAAGAAGAAAAGTTTGAAAGAAAACAGTAATCTTTCAAAAAATAATATTAATAATCAGAAAAGGAAAAAGAGCTACTATGAATGTTGGTGGTGTAAATGAAATTTATATGTAAAATATAAAGTGAAGGAAGAAAGGCGAACAATTTGAGCTAAAGAAATTTGAATTTATATTGATCTGAATAAAATAAATAAATAAAAAAGGGGAGATAGCAGTCACATTTTATTTATTTATTTTTCTGTTCCTTTGAGGGAAATAAACGACCGAGACGAGATTGTCATATGAATTTGTTTCTCATTGGTTGTCAAGCTACAAGAAAAATGTGTATTTATATTTGATTCATACAATTGGTAACTTGAATTGAGGAATTAATATTTAGTTGCTATCATTTCATCATGAGCCATATACGAAATGTATTTATATCACCAATATGTATATAAAAGGCATCAAAGAGAGTTAATTTAGCTATACGGTCCCTCTTTGTTTAGCATACATAAATAAATGATGTCGGTTGAATGGCCTGACAGACAATAGTTAATATATATATATATATATATTAACAGTACAAAAGAAAAATAATACCAATACCAATAGAAAGATTTTATTTTTTCTGCTCTGTTTAATCCCCATTCCATCCCACCTTATTGAATTTTTGGTTCAATTCAATTCAATTCAAAATAAAAATAAAATATACCCATTGAAGCTGTACTCAACAATCTTATATTTTCTTGCAATTGTCCAAATTAGTTAATTATCGTCCTATCCTGGAATCAATATAAATTATCTACCTGTATAAAATAAAAATAAAAATAAAGAATAATTAGCTCCGTCCAACAACAGGGTTACTGTCACCTTGTCTTTTATTTTTTATTTTTATTGGAAATAATTACATATAGAACAGAATAGAACATGTATTAAGATAATAACCTGTCTTTATGTATTATTGGTAGTAGTGGCTTTTAAATGTCTATCAAGGACCATTCTCCTTTGTATAATATTTTGGTATAAACAATATAATTATTAAGCATTAATTAATGGTAGTGTCTTGAACAAAAAGAAACAAAAGGTTTCTAGCCACTTTTTTACTATTATTTTTCGAATTATTTTCAAAAATTCCGATTGAGTTACAGTCATGGATCTTTCCGTTTTTCTATTCATTTTTTTTTTAATTGTTGGCTTCCATTTGTTCTGCGGACACCCCCAATTTCTCCCTCCTCTCCTCGACTTTTGTGTACCAAAAGTAAGCGAAAAAAAAAAAGAAAGGACTTTCTTGCTCCGGTCTTGTCTTTCCCAGCACAGAGTCTCTCATTGTAACCAACCAATTAACTCCGAGAAAAAAAAAGAGTAAACACAATGCACACAATGCACATAGTCTCGACCTCTATTCGACATCCTATATATTTATATTACCTTTGTGTGATTGTATAAATTGTTAAACTTATTTTATCTGATTCGGGTCTATACATGGCTTTTTTTTTGTATATAAAATATGCATGTGTATTTGATATTTGGTCAAATCAGCCATTATTCAAATCAATGTCACCAATTATTATAAATCACTCTTTCATTCATATCATATTAACCTGTTAATTCTCTATACTTACTCACTCTCTCACTATATAGAATAACTCGTTTAGCCAAGCTTAAAATTTCCTTTTAATATAGGAAGTATATTTACCCGATCTGATTAGACAACGTTACTAAACATGCACACTAAAGACCTATTATCCTTAGCATTATTCTTATCATTATTCTTACTATTATTCTTTTGGTTTGGCACATCAAATATGTAATTTAAGTATATAAAAAAAATTGTCAATGGGAGATTTATATATATATATATATATATAAATATATAAATATTGATTGAATTTTTAGATGAGATATGGTAGATTATTATTATTATTATTATTATTATCTTGGATCTGATACGCTTTACTATTTTGTTTCATTCATTCTAACTTATTTGAAATCCATTTGTTTTCTATTTTCTCTAATCAGATTCGATCATTTAACCAAGACAAATGAAGAATTCTTGAGGAACCAAAAAATAAATAAATCTGTTTTTAATTTATTCCCACCTTCATCTCATATACCTTTAACTACTCAACGTAGATCCTGGACTGCTAATTGTACTCTATATATCTTATTTAGTTTTATTTAGTTTTGTGGTCGACGGGTACAACATTCGGTTATTAAATATATCAGTACCTATATATATATATATATATATAAGCAGAAAAGAAACAAAGAAGAAAAGGCAAAGGATATTAATCATGTTCAACATACTTTACAGCAAAAAAACACACAAAGGTTGTGAATTGTACTTGTTGGGGTAGCAGTAATGAGAGGAAATAGCCAAAATATAAATGGACATTTTTTTTTTTTGCAAAAATAAATAAAAAGAAACACCAATAGAATTGTTAGCAGTAGCCATATCAGGGCTTAATCAAGTATTAGATACTTTACCATAAAGAATAATAAACTTACTGGCAACATAACCCAATATCTTCAAGGTTTATCGTCAGTGTTGAACCCGCTATAAATGCATAAAAATCTGGTTGAGAGAAAGAAGAAGATAGTAATTGAATCGAATTAATTGAATTGATTTTTTAGCATAGTTTCTCTAGATTTGATGCGATAACTTTGAAAGTACCAAATGTCAAAACCTTCTTTGTCAAACAGTCAGAATTGGCTCTACTAATATTTCTCTTTCTCCCTTTAGACTTTCAAATATCAAGTTTGGTTTTAGAATTGGATAGAACACCAAGAAAAGAGTTCTTATATCAAACCAGTAATGTGGAATATCCTAAATAAATAAATTAAAATTGAAATTGAAATTAAAATTGAAATTGAAGAAATGAAGAATTGCTGAGATAAAGACTTTGCCCATCAACGGGTATTCAATGAATGGTATATAGATTTTTTTTTATTACAGTATGAGAATAAAAGCGCGACTAGGAAACCTATAACCACATCATCTGTCTTTTGTTTCACCAACATTGTTTATTATTATTTTTAAAAGAAAAAGAAAAAAAGCTCTTCATTTCGAGCTTTGGCGTCATGTATAGCTTGGATCAATACATTCGATGGTCCAACTATATTTGCAATTGATAATAAGGTCTCGTACTCTTGATTTTGAGTTTCGAGTAATGGCGATGGTAATGGTAATGGTAATACAATATTATTGTACTGCTTTTCCTCGTTACTCAAAACCAGAGAGTATAATTGTTGTATCATTTGGTCATCAAGAAAAGAAGCATTCATAATGAACAAAACACTGTATGTATTAAAAAAAAAGATAGAGAGACATAATCCAAGTATAATAAAAATTGGTCTAAAGACGTTCCGATGTTGCATTTACCAAGACCTTCTCTGGAAATCATAAGACAATCTGCAGCCCATGGATCTGAGTGATAAACATGGTTTCCATGGAAACGACTAGCCGTTGTACGTTGAGAAACAAAACTATCCATAGTAACCGACGCATGTAATCAAGATAACTCGGTTTACATTGTATTTCTTATACGCTTGTAGGCAGTAATTAGCTACTCTCTTTAGAACTGATCGGTTGACAATATACTGAGTTTCTACAATTAATTGGAGAGATCAATAAGAGACGACTTTGGCTCCAAGACCACATTAGACGGTGTTACATCACTCTATTCAGAGTTATCAACATTGTATTCGGTATGGGTGTTGGGCGAAGTAGCTCTGATGTGGTTAATCTCTCGTGGACTTTAAAAGATGTTTTGTTTCTTTGTCTGGTGTGGTGGCTGACAAGGTTGTTCAATTCATTCAAAGAATCTTGATAAATCTGAGCCTGTCACAGCTCCCTATAAGCCAAATAAAACTAATAATATTATATAGAGTGACTTGTTGAGGTTGGTGTTACTTGAAAAGCTGTGGCTTCCGATCAATGAACATTGATTAAACTAATATACACACATAATTATATGCATCTGTCATTCATTCCGCCTCTTTATCGATTTGTAAAAAAAAAAAAAAAAAAAACAAAGTTGCCTGTGAAATTCCAAGATTATTATTATTTAGTTTTCGTTAGTAATCATTTTCTATGGTGTCTTGGTGCTCAGAACATGCTTGACATTGTTGCAGACACTGATTTTGTGTATTGTCCAAAAGAATAAGAAGAAGACTTGTCTTTTCTTATAAAAACGATTTTTTGTATTTAATTTGTGTGTTGGGTTGTTAAACAAAGGTTACAAACATGGATCTTAAATAACAAAAATAATAAAAAGAGAGTCGATATGCAATGTATGTGTAAGGCTTCACAACGGTATAAATTTATTTTATACAAATGGTTTAGTGTGAATGTACAATATAATAGTTCAAGGTAGTATTGTACTTTTTATTTATTTTATTTTAAAGTACAAATTCAAGTACAAGTATAAGTACAAGTACAAGTACAAGTACAATTTGTTGTTTTAGTTTATGCCCTGCTCTGTCCTACTGTACTCTACTGTACTATGTTTTGTTATGTTTTTGTCCTATCCATGCTTTACCATGCTTTACCATGCCTTGTCTTACCTTACCTTGCTTTATAATACTATAATTGATTACATGTGGGAAACATGTAGCTCTTTTTCTTAAAAAAAAAAAAAAAAAGACCAATCTATTCATTTAACCCAATAGATAAACATATAGATAATTATGTAGTTTTATTATTTCTTAGGGGTGTTTATGTATGTATATATGTATGTATGTATGTGTGCTTTTGTGGGCGTGTCTCTTTGAACCATTATATTGATCTTATTTAATAAAAGGTATACACAGATATGTATATATAAAACAAAGGTTAAAATTGTTAATGTAGTTGATCAATATATATATATATTTGGATATGATTTTCGTCTGTCTATCTATAGATTCATTAGTATTTTTTTTATTTTTTTTTTGGTTTCGGTAAGATGAACCGGCTGTATTATTCTACCAAAAAAAAAACCTTTTCTTTCTAGATGGAGATTGTACGGTGTTGTACTCCTACCAAGCCAAGTCCAAAGTAAGCCAAGTCCAAAATCAAATAAAACTTATTTATCAATTTGCTGATTTGTTTAGGGAAAGAAAGAACAAAAGAACAAAAGAACAAAAGAGAATGGTATATATATATATATATAAAAGGATATAAATTGATTGATATTTTATTAAGTTGAAGTATATTGCTTATACTATGTTGCATTTTGTTGGATATGTTATATAAAGCATATTCATTTGTAGGATATTCTTATAAAGAGTGGTACAAATCGATTGCTTGATTGGCTTATTCTGAACAAGTAATGCGCAGTTTGTTGTGATTATTTAGAAAATACTAAGATCGCTACAGTATACATGTACACAATTATATCTCTAACTTGAATGATAATCATTGACGAACCTTGTCATAATCCAACTAACAAAAGAAGCATTCGGATACAATATATACGTTGAGCTTCCTATGTGAATAAAGCACTTTTGAAATCCACTCTTATAAAGAACCATCAGTATCAATATTAACATACGAATTTATATGTATGTATATCTGCATACTGCACAACTACTTTTATCTGTGTGTGTATATATCTATTTCTAACAAGGCTCGGAAAGCAACGTGTATCATGTGTAAATTTGATTTAAATTGGTACAAATGTATGCAAAGAATGTATGCTATTGATATAATACAAATCTATTGCTACCTTGAAATAGATCCAATTATATCATATAATATTTCTTATTATAAAAATGCTATAAAGTAGCTATCTATTCCTATTCTTACTATTATTTATTTATTTATTTATTTATTAAGAAAGAGGCGTTATATTTGTCTATCCATTGGAAAATCGCTTACCTGTTTGGCTGGATCAGTGGCTTGTAAGTCCATATAACCAACTTTGGCGTACACATTAGATAGAAAATAGATAGACCATAAAAATGTATATATAAATATATATAAAATTTTATATATGTACATACAAATATACAAACAACAACAAATAAAAAAGGGGTATTATTTTGATTTTTATTTATTTATTTATTTATTTATTGAATTTATAAAACATAATACAAATAATACAAATCACTTAATGCAAAATATAAGTAGCCAGTTTGCGATGACAAATACAATAATACAGATCTTGGAAATGCTTGCTGCTATCAATCGTTCTCTCACTTTGCGTAAATGTGTATGTAAATGTGTATGTAAATGTATGGATTTCTCTATTAACCCGATGATATTTAGTAATATGTAGGATTATTATTGTGACGCCACCCACTCATACACCCACAAATATATCCAACTATATATATATATATATATATAAAATCAATTGCTGAGTACAATCGGTGATTATTTAATTCTGAATTCCCAAGTGTCAATACACTGCATCGATCTACTGAATCAAGGGGTAAACTCGAAGTTATCGCTTGAAACATCAACTGCTTATCCAGGGCTTTATCACTCACGACCAAACAAAATAAAAACAATATACTGTGTAATAATAATAATACTAATAATAATAATAATAACAATACTAAGGAACTCGCACTGTTTTTTTTTCTTTAATTATTATTATTTATTTATTTATCTTTTGAACTCAAGGCTACAGCTTATTCAGGGTAAAATAGAAAAGAACAGGCAAATTAATAGATAAGCACAGGCACAGGAACAGGCACAGGCACAGGTACAGGCACAGGCACAGGTACAGCAAGAGGTGTAGGGATGGACATATACATGGGCAAAGGCAGTAAGAATCTGTTTTTTTTTTTTTGGTTTCCTTGGAGATGTTTTCTTTAAAATAATATTTCAAATAAAAAGAGAGAAAAAAAAGGTTCAGTACTTGGAATTATTTTAGGATTAAGGAGCGAGTACAAAGCACGGAGCACATGTAACACAGTTTTGTTCTTTTATATATAAATAATAATAATAATAATAGTAGTAGTCCTTCTTTGAAAAGCCGATGGTTCTTCAAACCCGAAGAACTGTCGAATAAAAGCAGCTCTTTTAGCTTTTTTTGATTCTACCTTTCTGTTCTATTCATTCTCTAGAAACGCACATCAATATCATCTTCTTTTATAAAATCTATATAATTCATATAAAAACAACGACAATAGCAGCAGAAGGGTTAAAGGGCACTATCAATATCAGTATCAGTATCAGTATCAGTAGCAGTATCAGTAGCAATAGAAGAATAACAAACTTACCAACAATACCAACAATACCACCACCACCACCACCAACAACAACAACAACATCATCATCATCAACATCAACAACATCAACAGCAACAGCAACAAAAAAAGCAAACCAATAAGCAAACAATGTCTGTGGTCCACTTTAGCATTGACCGGCCATTTGGCATCTACCTCTTCAAGTATTTTGACGCGTTGTACACTGCTGTCCTGGGAACACCGGCTACCAAATTTGCCTTTGTGGATGGAGTAACTCCTCTTTCAACCCTAACAGAAGGTAACCATATAAGAAATCATTAGGACTGATTCGTAACTAAGCAATCTGTATAGTTGTCGTGAGCTGTCTCACATACTATGGTGTTATCTTTGGTGGACGGTACATCATGCGGAATTCTGAGCCATTGAAGTGCAAATTGGCCTTCCAGATCCACAACATTCTGATCACAATCGTCTCTGGTGCTCTTCTTGCCCTCATTGTCGAACAAGTCTTGCCAAAGATGATCCGCCATGGCTTCCACTATACGGTCTGTAACTCCAAGGCCTTCACAACCGAGGTTGAAATCTTGTATTATATCAACTATCTTATCAAATATTGGGAGCTATTGGACACCGTATTTTTGGTTATTAAGAAAAAGAAGCTTGGTAAGCTATATGTCTTTTATTTTCCATTTCATTTTTGAAACAATAAAAAAAAGAAAGAAAAAGAAAGGGGGTAAAATGAGCAATAGAAAGAAGAAGAAAATGGAAGAGTATAAGAATGTAGAATGGAGTATATGAAGATACAGTATAGTACAGTAGGGTAGGGTAGGTAAAGAACACCATCTAATTTCTGTATCTCAATAGAATTCCTGCATTACTTCCACCACAGTATGACCATGGCGTTGTGCTATTCTCAGCTCACAGCAAAGACTCCAGTTGTAAGTATAAAAGGTCTACTAAGCTTAAGTTAGAAGGAATTAAATGTCTGTCTGACTGACTGATCGATTTCTATTCTATTTTATTTTTTGGTTTAATAGTCTTGTGTTCCCATCTGCCTGAACCTGTGTGTACATGTAGTGATGTACTACTACTACTACCTCACAACAACTGGAGTCAAGATCTGGTGGAAGAAACATCTCACAACCATGCAGATCTCCCAGTTTATCATCGACCTCTTAGTTATCGGCGGACTTGCCTATTCCCACTTTGCCTATGTCTTCTTCAGAGGAATTCTTCCCACCTCAGGAACTTGCACCGGCACTGAGACTGCGGCCATCTTTGGAAGCGGCCTACTAACAGCCTACCTCTTACTCTTTGTCAATTTTTACCGAACGACTTACAACGCAAAGGAGAAGGCTCTTAAAGAGCAACAAGCAGCCGCGGAACGTCTAAAGACCAAGATGTTGCTCTAGAAATACAATCTCTTTCTCTCTTTCTTTTATTCGTTCTTTCTTTATTTCCCTTCATGTTCCCTCTACCTATCTCTACCTATCTCTCTCTCTCTCTCTCTCTCTCTCTCTCTCTCTCCGTTTGCGTGTGTGTAGCTGTTCATATATCATTCATTCATGCTAATCTTGTTTATTCAAATATCCTCATAAATTCTATTCTATACATTAAAAATACAAAAAATAAATGACCAAATAGGCGAGTATTTGTTTTTTTTGCTACCTCTTCCACCTCTTCTTCTTCGTCTTCGTCTTCTTCCTCTTTCTTACTATTGTTATTACTATTGTTATCATTCAGGAGGTTCAAGGAGGTTGTATGATGTGTGCACAAATTATGTGTGTAACCTTATATTTTTAGCTTATACACACACTTGCTCACTATACGTTATACATACTACACCTACTACACCTACATATACTGCACATACTACATGATGAATAAGTTGTTCTTTTTAAGGCAAGGGATACAATATACTTGAATTCCAAGTGGTCGAGAATAAGTTCATGCCTGAACGATATATATTGTAGCTATACATATACGTAAAACCAAAACTCCAAAAAAAAGTGTCTCTTTTGTTATTTATTTATTTATTTGTTTGTTTATTTACTTATTTATTAACATCCCCCCTTGTACAGGTCTTCATAATAGATGAATTGAATGATATCCTTGTCCAATATTTCTTCTAGACCTGTCGTGTCTTTGGTAGAGTAACTCTGTTTGATTTTATTTCTTGCTAGTGTGCTGGACAGACATGACACACGATTTTCGAGTTTGATTCTGGTAATCTTTTTTGTGTTGTACGGACACGACACTGCCTCTGTCCCTGTCCCTGTCCCTAACCCCTCTTCTTCCTTTTGCCTCTCTGACCAAAATACCTCTGCATTATCATTACCGGATCCTGGGCGATCTGCACAGATCAGATGCGAGTGGCGGAAAAATGGCTCCAGAGCTGTGTCGCGGCCTTCGGGATAGTAGACCGGATCCAGGAAGCGTGTGATAGTATCAAAGCCCATTATGAAATAGAGCTTGATTGTTACGTTGGCATCGAACTGGTGTTTGAAAAAGGTTTGGATATGAATAGACTTGTCTATAAATCTGCCGTGTGGTGTCAATGCAACTGCGATATTCTCAAGTGCTTTGGTAGATGTATTTATAGAGTTGGTGGTGTCACCAAACTGTCGGGCCATAATTTCCATCATCTGGGCTCGTTGTAATACAGAGGCCCCTGTCAATTGTTTGTCCACGTTACGTGTAGAGAACAGAACAATGCTTGCATCGAAATAGTCTTTTGGAAAGCTGGCCAATGATTCCGTCAGTAGGGCACGATGAGCGAGTGTGGGGGGATTAAAAGAGGAGTCTAGGACAAGAATGTTACATGCAGCGTTGGCTTTGTTGGGCCACACATTGAGGTTTCTGGAGTATGTGATAAAGAAGTCATGACTGCTTGTGGCTGTAGTTGATGCCTTGATTTCTGATAGTATAGTCTTTGAACGGGAACGAACGGTTGATAGGATAGTAGACATCTTTGGTATTCTATGAATCCGTGTATTTTCTTTTATTAGAAAAAACAAAACAAAACAAAAAGGGGGGAGTGAAAGAAAATAATGTTCTTATTTTTCTCTTTATTTAGATAGCTAAATAATGTCTATTATAACAAAAAGGAAAGAAATGCAAACAAAGGAGACTAATAACTAGAATCGCCTTACATAAATCGATAAATATAAATTACACGAACAATAACAATAATAAAGATTTGTGATATAAAGGAAAATATACACACACAATTCAATTCAATTCAATTGATGACATAGCACTATATCCGACAAATGATAAACGCTCCGTCTCGTATGGTACAACTACTTTGCTTAACCTCTTTTTTTTCTCTCTCTCTCTCTCGGCTGTGGCTCCGGTTATATTAGATTCATTTTCATTCTTATGTATAATTGGTTCTTTGATAAAGAGGTATCAAAGAGAGAGAGTAAAGAAAGGGGAGTATATCATAGGCTAATATCTGACCATATTAATAAAGAAAAAGAAGAAGAAGAAAGAAAGAAAGAAAGAATATCAAAAATCAAATCAATTATAATACAGGTACAATTTTACTTGGTTGTATTAGGATTTCAGGGTAGATAATTGTTTTTTTATTATTAAAATTGAATATAAATAATAAGCTCATCGGGGCTTATTGTTGGTGGCTCAGTGTAAAATTCCTATAGATCTTACTATTATTATTATTGTTAGATGGCTTTATTTTGTAAATCGATGTTTGACCAAGCTAAAGTCATATGATAATCTGGTTTGTTATAAAATCACAGAGCACAGTTTCTTTGTTAGGTATGTATATCAATAATCCTAAATAAATAAATAAATAAATAAATAACGTTTTACTTTGGCTTAGCTTAGTGTTCAAGGAGAAAAGGTGCATTTTTTCTCTGTGCTTGTAAACTTTTATTGAACCAATATTATACGGTTTTTGAACAAGCATTTCGACGATCTCTTCCTGGTGTGCATACGTCTGTTCTCTTCCAAAGATAACAATAAAAAGACGCACAGTTAATATGAAAATAAGGGGAGTGAAAGGAGAAAAGATGAGATTAGAAGAAATGAGAAAAAGAAAGAATAATTCCAAAAATATATAAAATATATAGATAGATACATGCAAATGCAAATGCAAATGCAAATGCAAAGGCGCATGCAAATCCACACACAGGTATAAGCATTAAGCATACACACATATCTATATAGAAGTATTTGCGTTTTTGTCGATTATCCGATCAAAATCAAAATCAAAAGTTCAAGTAAAGAAAATGGTGTTTGCTACTACTGTGAGGAAGGAATTTGATTCTGTAACCTATTTTAATTATATAGATAATTAGAAAAAAAAAACATTCACCTAATAAAGCTACCTTTGGTCTCAATTCCTAATCCTAGGTTTAATGCATCAATATGTACAATTCATATTCCTTCAGGGATCAATCACTATGCTTTCTGTCTCTTATATATAACTATACCTTTGTGCATGTACTCATGTATGTACACAATGGGTTAATATCATTAGTGTTGCCTCTATTGTGATCACTCTGTATTTGTGATCATTAGCTAACCTATTATCCTCCAATGCTTCATATGGCTGTTGTGATATATTACAATATCAATTTGCCAATAACATTTTCTTATTATTATTTTTGCTTTAATAATCATATGGAATTCAATACTTTACAGAACAAACAAAAAAACAGCAATAAACATAAGTCTTTGCATATAGAATCCCCCTTTTTTTGCTATCTGCCTATCTTTCCGTTAAACAGCTATATTAACACTGTGGAATTTTAATCAAAGTACAAATAGACAAATAAACAGCAGTGATACATTTAGTTAGCTTATAGTTGAATTAGTACAAACCAATATTTAAAATTAAGATACATGCTGTTTGTGTGCGTTTTCTTCAAAAAATAAATAAATACAGAAATGCATATAAATGTTTCTGACATCAACTCGTCTTATAATTCGTTTAAACGTATGTTTGATAAAGTTGGACTCTAGACTAGCCAAATCTACCAAGCATGTATGTATTTATATCTATATATCATTACAGAAAAATTCACAATAATTCAATGTTGTTTCAACACTAGATTGTAAGATAGGACCAGTGGATCTCTTGATTATAATGTTTTCTAGACTACCAGGCACAGAATTATGACCAACAGTTATATCCACCTCTTAAAAGCATTATAAAAAAAAAGATAATATTTAATTATTTAATTTTGACCACTTATACTTCTTTAAAATATATATATACATGTTAGTCTTTTGCTTATTGGATAGCTTGAACAGTATTTATGGTCTGGATTATACTATACTTTCGCATTATATTGGTTTCATCTATTTAGCTTTTTTTTTCTTAATTAAAGCAATAGGTTATTAAGCACCTGGAATATATGAAAGCAAGATACGATACTATTAGTAAAACATTCAATTGTAAGAATTTTTCTTTAATTACAAAACGTGCAATTATAAAGAGCAGGCTATTGTTCTTGCATGATTTGAATCATGTATAGCCTGACTTGGAAAAAGAGCACGTCTGAAGACAGTCCTTAATCTGAAACACCACCAACAAAGACCAATTAATACCAAAGAGCCAATACTCTTCCTTTAATAATTGCGGACAATATAAAAAGTTGAAAAAACAGCTTCTTCAATGATACAAGAATTTCTTATTATTTCTTGTTGAAAATTAAACTATACAAAGTCTCACTTTACTCGACTTGCCTTTTATCACACATCTCAAACTTTATTTTATTTTCATTATCTTCCGCAACTATTTTCTGTGGAAATGCTTCATTTTTTAAAAGTGAATTATATACCTAGCCTTCAAACCGTGCCATATTTCTCCAACCATATCCATCCATCTTGAACCCCTTACCTCGGAACACATTAAAAACCCTCTACAGGACAAGGTGTCAAAGAAACTATCCCGACTAATCAACATCCAAGAAATCAAACTCTGCGCTTTAATAGTCTGTCTGAATGAGCAGACAACGAAACATCTACGCCACCCGGGCACTTACAACATCCAGGCAAATATGTATCAAAATAACACAACTGAAAAGAAAAAGAAAACTGGATCCAATACAGCGAACGCGATACTATCTTTCAAGAAGCCAATAACAACCAAGAAGGCGTATCTCTATTGTTCAAAGACATCCCAAAATTCCAAGTCCTCGGCCAGACCATCCACCACTCAAAGGAACCCGTCTTCGAATCAGTCGGCCATTTCCTATCCACCATGAAAAAGGTACTCACTGCAGGCAAGAGCACCATTGACTCTTCCTGGAAGATTTGGCCTCCCATGGCATTTGATCATGACCACGATCCCTGGTATGAGACAAATCTCCAAGGCAAGGACCTCTCATGGGCAGAGGTCAATGAAGTGAAGTGAGCACAAAAAAAAATTGATTCGTTCGATCGCCAGCTCGAAATGGGATCCCGTATGCTCACTATGACCATGGGACCCAACGAGAGCATCCTTGACTACGGCATGCGATTCCAAAAAGCTTGCAGAGAAGATGGCCCGATTGGCGTTTTCGTTGACGCCATGATATTCATGAGTAGTTTGTACCCCGACCTTTGCACCAATATAAAGCTTGCGTGGTTTGCTAGACACACAGAAATGCCGCAAACGATCGAACAAGTCCTCTTGTTGACAAACGGTGTATCAACCAGCCACAAGAAGAGCAACCCATATTGGGTTAGAGGGACCAGTAAGAAAGTTGGCATAGAAGACTTAAAAGATTGGCAAGTGCTTTTGTGTTCAGCACAAGTTCAACAACACACATACATTGAGTGAGTGCAAAATTCTGCAAAAGCATAAGTCGACCGCTAAGGCCTGCAGGTACTGCAACAAACCGTGGCAACATAAGCACACTTGTCAGCAGTATTTTGCCGCAAAAAAACAAACTCATCAAATCCATCAGTACCATACAGCCAATGGACCGTATAACACAAACGCTCGAAAATGCTTCTTTCGGTAAGTCAAACAATATTAATAAACAAAAGGATGAAATGAATCCGTTCTCATTGTATACACCTATCGTCTTACAGAATGAACATAAACCGCAAGGACTAGTCGACACGGGAGCACAAATTTTCTGCCTCAATTTAATTTTTTTTTACAAATACAATAAAATCTTCAATCATCAAAGTTAAAGGACAGCTCTTGTTTGCCAAAAAAAACCCCCCATTCTTTATGTGTTGGAAAAACTGCGCCATTAAAAGTAACATATGAAAATGGGCATGAATTGTTATATTCTTTTGAACTTATGGAAACGAATGAAGAAGATAGCTTAATATTAGAACAAGATATACTACCTGTACTTTAATATCGATTTATCTGGAGTAATGGTCGACTGTAATATCCAAAAAAGTAATAAAGAAAATCAAAAAATAAATGATAAACTTGAACGTAGTAATTCACCATATGGTACTAAATGTCAACATGCTTCGTTTATTATCACAATAGCAAAGCTACCTAACAGAAAATGAAGCTATACCAAAACTTGGTTTTGCACGTTACAAAAGGTATTAATGAAACTCGAGGCTTCAGAAGGTTCAAAAACCTAGTAGATACAAGATTCACTACCATATACTCTAGGACCAGTAATAGATGAGATAGTCAACAGCTGATTAAAAGAAGAGGCTATAGTTAAAGAATCAGTAAGACACGGTCTTGAATAGCCCTCATACACTTGGCGATGAAAAATAAAATACACAAACACAAACGAAACGCAGATAAAGACCCAGGTTTGAATCCACGTCACATCAATACATTACTTACCAGATGATAAATTCCCACTTTCATTCATACCCAAAATGTATTTCACAATGTCCCCTTCATCACCAACAGAGTCGCTGTTATTGCCACTTTAAAAGTTAGATGTCTTGAAATAGAAGATTCACTAGCTTCGAATCTGTAATAACCGAACTCAAATCACTTTTGGGTTTATATCCTTAATAAACAATACAAAAAGAAGGGGGCTTTCATTAATATAAGACATCTTTGACACCATTACTTGTGCAACAACAGTTACAGAATTAGACTTGAAAAGCGCTTTTCCATCAATTCAAAATCACCAAAGAAGATCGATACAGAACAACTTTCAATGCATGTTTCGAGGTTGTCCATTCGAACTAGAGCCCTTTCCAAATTCAAACGTGTGATGTTCTTTAATCTTTAAAGACATGCCATCCACATGAAGAGTCGCTGTTGAAATTGGCATGTATTTTGTTTCTTCTTTTATCTCTAGCTTTGAAGAACATACTAAGCATGTCTGTTAATAGATAAAAACTCTGATTAATATCTACTTGATTATCAATCCCAAAAAATGTCACTGCACAAAAATCCGTGTACTTATTAGGCTTCTCAGTGGATAAAAAAAATGATAGTAAAGTCTATAAACGTAAAATTGCTCAAAACATACAAATGTCATGGATGTCACTACAAAATATTATCAATTTAAGAATGCTATATAATTCTAATAGTGAACTTTTATATGTATACATACTTTTTTTTAAAAAAAAAACTTGCATAATCTTTTCTAGCTCAAAGATTAAACTGCTTTGAGCAAAGCTACTCTAAAAGAATATGAAAATATTGTGTATGTGTGTATTCTTTTACTTTGACAGTATACGTATTGAATTACTCCTTTCAATATAAAGAATTAAAAAAGCTTTTTTCTATTTCAACCTTTTCTTTCTAGATAGACCAGAAACCTAACAGAGAGATATCAGTCGCTAAATGTGAGACGGGTTTCCGTCATGTATCTTACATCCAAGAAAAAAAATTACCTTATCAAGGTCTTTGTCATTTTCATTATTGTCAATATGTATTTGAACTAACACTGCTAGAATTAAATAGTTTGGTCTAGATAAAATGTGTCTAGAATGTAGATGATAACGATTATCTCATCATGTGTTTAGGAATATATTATTTTGATCAACAGTAGGATACTATGTTTGAATCGATGTTTATTATCCTTGAAACAGATACACAAAGTCTTGGTGTAAAGTGGCTGTCAGTTTCCAAACTATGAAAATAGAATAAATAGTTTAGTTACGATTGACTCTAAATGAGCTTACACAATACGGTTAAAAAAGTGGTGGCATAACTGTCATTTTTTTTTAACTTGTAAAAAAAAATGGCAGATATGAGTTTGCATAGCTCGATTAGAGATATAGGTACTACTTTTTTTCACTACGTCATTTCTTTTGCTCTACTGTATTCAATGCTAGTTTGTTCTCTTGATTTTATTTACCAGATTGAAAGAACTGTTTTATTTTTTTATTGTATTGGATTGAATTGATTTTTTACCATATGAAAAATAATATTGTCAAAAACAAACAATAAAATATTTATATTTCAATTATATTTCATGAGTTTCAAGTACTTTAACGTAGCTTAGATGATTTTAATAACTTTCTATTGATCCTTACAAACACGCTGATATTAAAGAAAGAAAAAGAAATAAATAAAGATATAATATTATCCACATTAAATAGCATCGTAAAGATGAATCTGTTTGACGGGAATAGGTAAATGTAAATTATTTGTTATTCAGTCTTACTCTCAAATTCAGAACAAATCAATATCTATTTACAATAAAAAGTATTGTGTGTAGGTATATAAAATATAGGAGATTTGATAGACGTAGAGAGTAAGTGAGACTTGTTTTAGAGTGTTTTTATCTAAGTGAGAAAAAGAGATCTTTTGGTATCAACCAAGATAAGATCCTGAGTATGTCAGTTACATACTCTTTTATAGGTTTCTTCTACCTTCAGGTCTGCTAATGATATTGGTCCCTGAGGTTAACACGGTGTTTATTATTATACTTATTTTATAAATTTTCCAGTGACTAGTCAAATACAACATAATACAAGCTATAAGTCTCAAGATCTTTTAACTTACTAACAATGTCTATTAGAACTAAGTCTAAATGAGTTGACTTTGTCACGCGGTGTGGTATCCTGTGGATGTAATTGTCCAAGAAGAAGAGAGATTGTTGAAATAGAGATTTTGGCTGAAAACCAAGAGAGAGAGAGAGAGCGAGATTAAGAAATTGCAAGAAAGAAATAGATGTGGAAAAAGAGGGAAAACTAACAGAGTGCTTTATCTAAATACTAAATCCAATAATTCGTAGCTTCGCAAGCAAATAGAATTGTTCTTCAAGAAAAGGGTGTATTTTCCACACCAGATTATCATATTTTTTAAGAGTAGGGTTTCAAAGTTGTTCTTTATTTATGAATTGTTTGTAAATATTTATATGTTTTTCTTAAAGAATGTTTTAAGGAAAGATGAGAGCGAGATAAAAAATAGAAAAAGCTAGGGTAAAGTTCTTGAAGTAAGTAATGGGAAAAATACAGTATATGAAGGGTATCGTGACATTTTGCAATTGATGAGGTGAGGAAAGAATTAAAGATGGTGTGCTCTTTAGACAGACAGAAGATGGAGAGACCCGAAACACAGCGTGACAGCTTTCTGGAATCGGACAAGACAACTAACTACAAAAAGTTGTTATTTATATATCTAAGATTTTTTGTTAGTAGATCTTTTAGAGAAACACATATATATGCATACTTAATATGATAATAACTAACAGCCAGTTGTTTAATTAATGCATCAAAGTTGAATACAATTTCACAAAAAACAATGTATAAAGTAGTTGTAGTGATCCAGACACTTGGCTGTTGAATTTATCCCATATAAGAGCATATTCCTATTGGGATAGCTTAGTAGCTATCATCTTGTCAGCATGTAAAATACATATAAGCAATTAAGTGATTGTTGCTGTATTTTGGGGAGAATTGGAAGCTTGATAAGTACTTTGAGACTCAAGATAATTTTATTGAGATATTAGCTGAATCAAAACTGATTAAAAAAAGTCAATAAATAGAGAGTATTTATATCTAATAGGATTTATCTAATTATATTCAGCTTATATCTTTTACAATAACTATTATGCATAAAGATTATTCTATCAAATAGACTGTTACAATAATATGTTCTTCTTTTTGTATCACAGTGGTTGCCCATATATATCAAATACAATAATCAGATCAATAATTGTTATAGTTAGTATTGTAGATAATATCACAAAGATTGTTAATATAATTATATCATACTGCTGGGTAAGCTGTGTCAGAGTTACATAGAGCTAATTTAGTAGAAAGTTCTAAAGTTCTAGTATAAAAAGAAAAGAACAGCTAAGAGCTAAACAAGTATGATTTACGACTTAATGTCAAAATTATAATATTAATACCAGTTAAAAAGTAAATACACTCTAATAAATGAATATAATAAGAAAAGAAAGTCTTAAGAAACAAAGATATAATGACAAGAGCAGATTGAGTTTTCTTAGAAAAAGAAACGCTTTTTATTTATGAGTAAAGAGCAGTGTTGTATTTGACAGTCATATAAATTTTTATAAAACAAGTCCTATCAAAAACACAGCATTAATCTCGGGAGCCAATGATAAATACAGACCTAAGAGTAAAGAAGCCTTATAAAAAGGGCATAACTGTCATAGTTAGAACACTATCTTAACTGATACCAACTTTCTCTTTTTCTCTCTCAATAAAACCACTATACAAAGTCTCACTTTATTTCTTTATCTCTTCTCTAAATTAAACCTAAATATAACAAGCAGCTTATATGCAGTCTCAAGGTATTTCTAAAGTAAGAGGGAAAAATTATTGCAATGTTTTTCCATTTCTATATTCCTACAGAAATATCTATTTTTCATATTTAAAAAAATGTATCCAAAACGCCCTTTAAGATTCTCAAACTACTAAAACATAAAAACAAAAGTCATTTATTTTATAATATATGAAAAAAAATTAGTATTTTGTGCAGTTGCCCTTGGTATTGATCAAAGTCTGACATCTTCTGGGTATGCTGGAAACTAATTGCTGTAAATAATTTCTTGGGATTGTGTATCATTCTCTCTTTATAGCATGATACAAATAATAAGGAGTTATATCGGAGCACAAGCAGAGGAATCGCACCAGGACAGCACCAAAATTCATTCCTGGGAGATATAAATAAAAACGGATATAAACAATTTTCATTGGCTTAGAAGAATACCCTTTTTCGGCATTGCTTCTGCCACTATTATTTTACACATATTGCTCTTTTATGAGAAATATCAAAGGTTTTATATGCGTAAACACTTTCTTGTAATGTTTTTGCTTTAACTTACTGTTATTACAGCAAAATATATGGTTAAACGTTATCATTTTTTAAATAAAACAAAGAAGTATATAAATAGTACAAGTGCTATTTCTATATATGGAATAAAAGAGACAATATTATTGGTTTACACTGCTACACAAACAGAAAGCGTTTTTATTTGTGTGGTCTTCTTTTACAAGGATTGGTTTGACATGATAACCAAAGACATTGCTTCTTGGCAGTATATTACTAACACTTTGATTTATTTTTACCAATATTCACTTTGAAAAAGGTATATATACTCCAGAAATCATAGGCAACAATGGTTCTATCTCATCTTACTATTATTTCTACTTCGATTTTAAAAAAATGAACACTCAACTCCCCAGATTTTATCCTTCCGGAAATCTTGTTGTCAATACACAGATGAGAGCTGCTCAAGCTCAGACTACCCAAAATGTTCAGGAGTCAAGACCAGAGAACACCAAGAAGACTTATGAGTCCAAGCAGAATGAGTATCGTGTCTGGTGCGATGAAAAGTTTGATGCTAGTGATGAGGGCAGATACACTGTAAATGGATCCAAACTTCATTTATTTTTGCATGAAAACGTAAGTTACAAAAAAACAATTACCCATCCTTTTGGATAAGCTAATTAACTTCTCCGTTTTTTAAACAAAACAAAAGGTCAATTCCTGTAAAAGCAAGTACATCAGAAAAGGCGAGACAACAGCAAGAACCATTAGCAGCTCAACGTTGGAGCTTTACTTGGCCACCATTACTGACCTTTGGACTCAACAATGCATGAAGGGTATTAACAGCAACCCCCATCCTCGCCCCAAATGTGTTGGTCTCATCCAGGCAGCCAAAAACAATGAAGAGCATAAACGCAAATCCAAATATATTGATCATGGAAAGCTCTCTTTCAACGATAGATATATCACCACCCAAGAAATGACCATGCTTGTTGACTACTACTTCAGCGAAAAGACTGGAACAGACTTGAGAAACAGCCTTTCCTTCCTGCTGTCTCACTTTCTCCTTTTGCGTGGGCAGTCAGCACGAATGGCCGAGCTACCAGATTTGCAAACTGTAGATCTTCAGAGTGAAGGTCCTTCTCCTTGTCCCGCGCTTGTTTTTATTATGCGACAAGGAAAAACGAACCAGCATGGCCGATTGGAAGTGAGTGGCTGTCTCTGTAACAAGCTTGTTGAGATCTGCCCAGTCATGATGCTTGCTGCATACTTCTTCTAATGCTTCCATGTGGAAAACGAGCCGTTCCCTGTGTTTACCAAGTCAAAAGACTGGTTTGATATCAAGGTTCTTAAGTCAGGAACCGATCGAGCCAAAGAGTGGGGCTACTCTGCTCATAACAAGGCTTTCAATAAAGGGCTTGCTTTCTGCAAGATCTGCTCATTCAAAGTGACCCACATTGCTAGAGGTGCTGGTGCCAGAATGGCCAATTTAGATGGTGTTGATGAGGCCCAGATTCGACGTTTAGGCCGATGAAACAACTTAACAATGAATGGTGCTTACCTGACTGGTTTACTGCATGAGGTAATGCGAAAGATGGCCAGCTTTCTGGAAAGTGCAGGGCACTTCTTCTTGCCAAGAGCCATGAAGGAGCCCCCTGTTGAGTTGTTGAAGAAGGTTTTCCCTCAGGTCAAGTTTTGGCTCGATAAGATCAATGCAAACAAGACTCAAGACACTAACTCTGCCAACTGCTTCTTGAAGCTTATGCTTGTTTTAAGAAAAGTCTTTCTTCAAGTCTTGGTCTTGATGCGCCTTCACCACCCTACCCACCCAATCTGGCAGCACGCTCTTTTTGAGGACCCTTTGTATATTCAGTTTGAAAGGTAAGAAAAATAATATTTTTTTTAGTAGACATAATAAACCTATCAACGTTATCTAATATCCTTTATTTTTGCATAAATTAGGGATCTTAAAGCCCATATTGTCGAAGTCAGAGAAGACAATCCTACAACTCTACAACTTCGTACTACTGCCCCAATGCTCCACCGATCCCTCAAGACTATACAAGCCCAGATACAGTCAGAGTCAAGTGGGCTGAAAGAAACCATGCAGCAACTTTTTACTGGCTTAAGGGATATCACTTCTGGCCTTGCTCCATTAAGTATAATCCTGTCAGTCTCAGGTGGGCCAGACTTTCAGATGCCAATATTTACAATGAACTCTGAGACCAACATTGGAGAATCTGGAAGTATACAGGCTATACAATTTACAAACACACCAACACAGCCAATACAGTCACAACAACATCAACAACAGACAATAGCATCACCTCCTCTATAATATCGCATGAGTAGAGGAGTGAAAACAATTCCCGATCTTTGGAGAGAGTGGCATTTTGACCTGAATGGTGCGAAGTCTGTGGTTGAGTTAGAGAGACTTCAACCGGGATGGCATAGCCAAGATGACACTTTCTTTGCCAGAAGATGCCGTGTAATAATTGCTATTAAAAAGCATGCGAGGGAAAGTGAGTTGTCTGAGGAAATGGCAATGCACTTGGCAGAGGAGAGGAGGGTCTTGGGGAGAAAGACATTAGATTTCTTAGGAAAAAACCAAAACAGCATATTTACCAGCTAATAAAAAACATCAAAAAACTTAAGTTTATATAAAAAGTTACTTCAATAGAACATTTAAAACCTTTTTTTATCTATAATTGTTTTTGTTTGTTGGAATAATTATATGTATTTTGACGAATATATGGCTTTAAACGTAAAGAAGTATAAGTATTGTGTATATAAGTTGTGTATGACAAGTATAATTTATATAGATTATTTTATACTATATTAAATATTTTTTGAATTACAGACTTCTTTTCTTACTGTTCTGGATTATTTCTTTTATACTATTTTATATTACATTTGAGCTTGTGAAGTCCTGCACAAATATAAGTTGGACTTATTTCTTGTCAAGGCAAATATATGTGAAATTATTTTTATTTTTTACTATGCGGCATTTAAAAACTAGGACAGGAAAATAATTTTGAGGCTGTCCTGAATGCTATATAATAATAATTTTATTGAATAAAAAGATTATTTCTTTTATAAACAAAAATATTTGGTTAAATAATTTTTTGAGAAAACAAAAAGAAAGCTATGTGAATTTTTTTACTACGTGCAACTGATGTTAATAGTAGAAGTGGAATAGATAAATATAATAAAAATATAAAGAGAATGAAGAAAAGTATAATAAAAATATAATAATTGAATAAAGATGAAGTAAAAATATAGTGAGATAGAATAGAAGTAAAGTAAAGTAATAATATAATAATAGTGTAGTGAAATAAAATAAAATAAAAAATATAGTGATAGTATAATAATGAAATCTAATAAAAATGTAATAAAAAATATTGTAAAGAGATATCAGCAACAAACAAGTATATAAAATTAGAAGAAAGAAGTATAAGTTTTAGTGGGTGACAGGTGCTTCTAAGATAGCAATGTAGATGAGTATTCTAATTTTTAAGGGTGGGATATAAGTTGGGGTTTGGGAATAAAGGGTATCAGGAACAAGATTTCCCAAGAAATCTTGGGGAACTACTCCTGTTTACTAAAGACACATCACCTAGTCAACTCACTGTCAACATAAATGCTCACGAGTCCAGTATCATCCATCATAACTAACCACTAGACCAAACCACTAAAGAGATCTACTATCCAGTGTCTTTTACCAGAAGCTGCTTGATGTCACATCTAACTACAATACATATGTCAAAAATAATGTATGATATGTTAGATTTATTGTAGATTGTAACAGATTATCTGGCAAATAAAATACAATAATAATAGAATAGAATAGAAGACGAATACAGTAAAAGATGACATACAGCAATAGTTGACAGGTAAGAAAAGAGAGAACAATCTATAGAATTGTTATTAAAAGTGAGAGAGAGAGAAAAACATATAAAAACAGAATGACAAAAACAGAAAAGTAATAGCCAACAAGAAGACCAAAATCAACAAACAACCTTCCTAAAACCAAAGAACTAATGTGTTATATTGCAAGATATTATAAATCACAAAGAGAAGAAAACAAGAAAAAGATACTGAAATTGATTAAAAAATGATATTTTATTGAATAAAATTGCTTCTCTTTTAAAGATAAAGAGATTTAAAGTTGATAATAGAAGTTTAGAAAAATAAAGATAGCAAAAAATAGAATGATGATTAATTGATATGGCAAAAATAAAATATATAAATAAATATATGGTAAAAATATAATAATAAAAGTACTGATATTGTGCAAAGATGTCAGCAAGATGAATTATGTACATTGTAGATGAGGAATGTTACTAGTATTGGTGATCATGATTTTGAAGGAGTACAATATAGATAAATATGTTAACAAAGAGAAAAGAAAAAGATATAGTGTGTGTTATATCCAACATAATCATAGATTTAAATTAAAAGTACAGACACTCAATAAATACATACATTGCATTACTGACAACTAGTAACAATACTAAAGTATATATATTTTCTTATATAATAAAATTACGTAAAGAACATATTAAGACAAATACTAAGACTCTAGTCAATAACACTAAAAACATAAGAGCTAAATCATAGAATATTGTTGTATCCAACATAATTGTAGATTTAAATTAAAAGTACAGACACTCAATAAATACATACATTGAGTTACCGACAACTAGTAATGATACTAAAAGATATATCTTCCCTTATACAAGGAAATTACGTAAAGAACATACTAAGACAAATACTAAGACTTTAGTCAATAACACTAAAAACATAAGAACTAAATCATAGAAGATAATGGTAGAGAAACAGACATTACATAATATCATCATATCATCACCAAGCTAAATACAATGTCTATATAAACGCATAATACTAATAGCAATATAACAGTATCTCTTTTCTGATTCTTTCACTTCTTCTAATAAAACAAAGTCTCGCTGTACTCTCATCTGCATTTTATTTACTTTACATCTCATTTTTCTCTCATATACAACAGTATGTAAAAGGAACAGGGAATAGAAACAAGATTTTCTCTGTGCATGGAAAAATCTCCTCTTACAACCGAGGGTACAACAAGACATCAACAAACTGTTGATGTCAGTCTCTCATAATCAGAACAACATGTTACAACAAACCACTGGACAAACTCACTAAGCAGACTGACCCTCTGGTACAAGACACTACAACATAGCCCACAGCTTCATTTGTTTCCAACACTTGTGACAAAAAAATGACGTGTGATGTGTTTGTTTTTTGTGAATTGTAACAGTACCACTTGGCAAATAAATTTAATGTGGATTACAAAATACAAGAATAAAAATACAGCAAGAATCGAAAAGAATAGATAATTTGACAGATAAGAATTAGTGACAGACAGGTAGAAAAAATAGGAAGAAGATAAAAATAGAAATTGTGATAACAACAAGGTTTGAGAAAGACAGAAAAGAGAAAACAGAGAAACAAAATATGTCAAGATCAATAAACAACACTCCAAAGAACAAGAATACTGTATATGAATGAAGAATAAGAATAATAATGGACAAAATAAAATACAATCAAAGATAGAATGATGATTTTATTGATTGAAAAGATTGTTTATTTTATAAACAAAAATATTTGGTTAAAATAATTTTTTGAGAAAAAGAAAAGAAAATCAAGTGAAAATTTTACTACGTGTAACTGGTATTGATAGTAGAAGTAGAATAGAAAAATATAGAGAGAGTAAAATAAAAGTATAGTAAAAATATAATAATTGAATAAAGATAAAGTAAAAATATAGTGAGGTAGGATAGAAGTAAAGTAATAATATAATAATAATGTAATAAAGTAAAGTAAAAAATATAATAATAGTATAATAATGGAATCTAATAAAATTAATAAAAAATAGTGTAAATAAATGTCGGCAATAAAGAAGTATATGAAATTAGGGGAAAGAGATATAATGTTTTTAGTGGGTGACAGGTGTTTCTGAGATGACGATGTAGATGGGTATTTTAATTTTAAGGAACAGAATTATATTGGGGGGTTTGGGTATAGGGGTATCGGGAGCAAGATTTCCCAAGAAACCTGGGGGACCACTCTTGTCCCTCGAGACACGTCACTCGGTCGACTCACCGTCGACGTCAACGCCCACGAGTCCGGTACCACCCGTCACAGCTCACCGCCGGACCAAACCACCGAAGGAATCCACTGTCCGGTATCCCTCACCAGAAACTGACCAAATCCACACTTGTTTACAGCACACATGACAAAAACATCAAGGTTTCGTGATGTAATGGTTAGCATCTGAGATTCTGATTCTCATTATCCGAGTTCAAATCTCGGCGAGACCTCTTTTTGTGTCGTGTCAAAAAATTTTGTCAGCTTGTCAGACATTATTTTGATGAATCCGTAAAATCTGAAGATAGTTAACCGCAGTATAATGACTATTTCTTTAATTAAATATAAATAATAACTACTGCGGATAATGCGCAGTATTAGTTTAGAAAACTATATAAGACAATTCAATTCATATCAATAAAAAGTATCTTTTATCCTCTCTTTGATTTTACGTATACTCCTTGATCCCCAGTGGGTTTGACCTTTTGACTTTGTTATAGTAAAAGGAAGACCAACCCAGATTGGGAACGACAAGCTAACCTTTGTTGTTCCCAATCTGGGTTTGTCGGACATTATTTTGATGAATCCGAGAAATCGGGATAATTGACCGCAGCAGTTCTGTATGTCAAAGATACCTCATAGATAACGAACCGCAGTAATGTCTTGTAAAGATTAACCACAGTAACATCTTCTGAGCATCAACCGCAGTAAAAGGACTTCTCTTGTAATTAAATAGAGTATAATAGTTTACTGCGGATAATGCGCAGTAGTTATTATTTATATTTAATTAAAGAAATAGTCATTATACTGCGGTTAACTATCTTCAGATTTTACGGATTCATCAAAATAATGTCCGACACCTTTGTTATGCCCAAATTCTTGTCAACCTGTCAAGTCTCGATCTGGTATTTCTTTTCTGGCACTTGTAACTAAGTCGCAGAATCAATACCACTGGGGATCGTCAAGTTTATGAATAGTTTTTAAATAAGAATAAAAGATACTTTTTATTAAATATATTTCTTGACTATTTATACAAAATGATACTTGATTTCTGACTAAAATAATAGCTATAATAATATGTCTTGGATGCTTGTTGTCCAGTAATATCTTCTACAAGTATATTCACCATCTTAAACATCCAAAACATATATAAAAGATCAATTAGCAAAGTCAAAATCTTTTATACTAAAAAACCAACTGTTACTAATTGCTTATAACTTCCAAATTTGGGTCACTGATGTTAACTCTAATACTTTTTATAATTTTAACTTATATAAATTTTATAAATAACTATCTTCAACTAGAATACCATAAATAAATAGAAACAGATACAAATATAAAAAATTAAATACTTTTTTTATTAATAAAAACATTTGTTGTGGGGAGAAAATAAAGTAAAGTATAATATAGACAAAAGAATTCGTGAGAACTTGTGTAGGTTGTTTATTTCAAAAGAAAAGTAAAGAATGATAAAATTCGATTGTTTTTCTACATGGAACTATCTACTGATATTCATATATTTGTCTAATTTATAATTCAGTGTGTGCTTAAGTAATTTTTATTACGATGAGTCATCTTCCAGGAGTATTGTTCTTCTGAAAAGATCTGGAAAGACCAATTGATATGATACTTCTCCAGTCAGATCAGTCCAAGAGTTTTGGTAAAGAAGAGCATTTATACTATTGGTAATATTTTAGTATTCCAACCTGTTGTGGTAGTTGAAGTTGAAGAAGTTTTTAAGAGGAAGAATTCAAGATTTGAAATTAGGAACGAAGATTCGTGAGAACTTGTGTAGGTTTTGTTTATTGAGAAAGATTTTGTATCAAAGTTTGACCAGGTTCCTACACTGAACTACTACTGCTATTTATATTGTTTTGGATTGGGAAAATTATATGACTGGGGTCAGGTAATCGATCCTATCTGAGCCTTAATCAGAGCAACGTGATCTTGGGATAATTAATATATGATTAATTATATAAATGTGTGTAGTCCCAATGAAGTATTAACATCGAAAGTAAATGTGTTTATGAGTTATAATTATGCTTATAATAATCCACTGATGTATCCCATATTATGGTGATATCATCATATGAAATATCATCACTATCATGCATGCTAAACCTGTGTATTAAATAATAAAGTAATTGGTAGACACCTTTGACTGGAATAGCTGAGGCCTTATATTATTTCCTTCAGACTTATTCTCAATTACAGCAGTAGTCAATACTCATTTACAACACAACCCAGATACTCGGGTAATGTTTCATAATATTAAATAGTTGTAGTTGTAGTCTCTCAATTAAGTATTTGTATAATAAAAGAAATATGTAGATGAAATATAATGATGCCATATATATAATGTATATGTATTTGTATATCCCATGTCATGGTGATAATAATAAATAATCAATTATGTGTATGATGATCTGTGTATTAGATAATATCATAAAGGGAGATCCGTTTGACTGGAATAGCTGAGGATGTTATTTTATCCTTCAGTCTTACTCTCAGATTCAGCAGTAATCAATACTCATTCACAACATTATCCTCCACCAGATTCAACAATACCTTTTGTTGATTCGGCAATAAAACATTTCATTTACTATTTCATTGTCTGGCCAATTGCTTATTTTATTATAGTCAATCATGCACATAATTTTTGTACTTTATAGAGATCTACACTGTAAACTCAGCTTTGTGGATTACGTGTTCATTTTTTGTTGTTTTAATTTTTTGCTGCTATTCTTTTGTGTAATCTTTCTTCTCTACTCAAAGTGGTAGGAAGCATTCTTTTCTTGTGCTCATTGTTATTGTTACTTTTACCATTTAGTCTTGAAGTGTGAACTGTTTTCTTTTTTGAGGATGCACTTTTGTTAATCAAGTCTTCAGCTCTCTCATTCTCTAAACGTTCCAACTCTCTAACTTTCTTCCAATATTTTTGTACAATTGCGGAATCGGTAAAGTCTTCAGCCTTTTGCCATGTATTAGCGCGTTCGCCATAGCCAGCCCATTTGACCAAATATTCTCGTTGACCAGCAGTACCACGATGATCTCAAATGTCTTCAACTTCGTAGAGCTCATTCTCAATTGTTGATTCATCGATGGTGACCATCTTGAGTTCTGAGGGTGTATAATTTTGGTGTAACAATTCACCTTGCTCATCCTTTAACTCATGCGATCCTCCTTTATTCTTTCAAACCACTGTATATGGACCTTCATAAATAGGTGCCAATTTATTTGATCGATGTGGTAATCTGACCATAACGTGTGTTCCTTTGGGGATGTCGATTAGGATATTTTTGTGATCATATTTCTTTTTTAATTCCTCATTAATCCTTAACACACGTTCGTTAATGGCAGGGAATATAATATTTTCCATATGATCAATCTGCTTCTCTAGCTCATCAATTGTAACTGTGGCTTTTGGAAGAGAGTATTTATCTTTGTCACCATACTCATCAGGCACATTGACTCTGCGAGCATACATTAATGAAAACGGCGCACTTAGTGTTTTTTGAGGAATATGTCTATTGATACACAGCTGAACAATTGGTAGATAGTGACACCAGTCATTGCTGTTCGCTCTCATCATTTTACGTACAGTATTCTCTGCAATTTTTACACTGGCTTTGGCAATACCATTTCCTTGTGGGTGATATGCTGTCGAATATCTTCGATCAATTCCAAGCTCTTTAGATAGGCTTGACATTAAAGAGTTTCTAAATTCCAGACCATTGTCACTTTGCATTACTTTGGGAAAACCATAATCTCCAAAAATCTTTATCAATGCTTTAGCTATTGTTGTTGAGTTCTTGTTTGGCAGTGGTCTCAAGATAATGTACTTGAAGCATACATCAACCAGAACTAACATGTACGTGTGTCCATCCTCTGATACAGGGAATTCACCGCATAAGTCAATTGCAATATGATCAAATGGTAGGAATGCTACAACATTAGTCAATGAGTGATAGCCTTTCTTGCTAATATTGTGCTTCTGACATTCAGGGCAAGAACGAATAATCTCTTTAGCCTCTTCATATATATTAGTCCAGTGTAAGCCTTGTGAATGAAGATCATTCACTATAGCTTGACTTCCAAAGTGACCAAACGAATGTGCTTCTTTTAGTAAGCCATTACGCTTTTCTTCAGGAGGTGACATATAGTTGGACGACTCTGAAGCATTTTCGACGAGTTGCGTTGCAAGTACATTTAGCACTCTGTCTTTACTATATTTTTTCTTTTGAACAATAACTCTGTTTTTAGCTTGAAAGTCATTTGTTCTGATTTTTCTCAATCCATCATCCTCCACCAGCTTGTCACTATCCTCTGGGGGATACAAGCGGCTTAGCAAATCAGGTAGTTTATTCAACAAACCAGGTATATGGACCACCTTAAAATCAAAGTCAAGGAGTGTCTCAATCCAGCCAATCATCATCGGATTAGCAATTTTTTGAGTGTAGAGATAAATGAGTGCTTGATGATCAGTAAAAATTGTGAACTGTCGGCCCCACAGAAATGGACGGAATTTTTCAAGTGCCAAAACGACTGCATATAATTCTCTTTTAGTTGTGCTCCATCGTCACTGCGATGGGCTTAAGGAAGTTGATACAAAGCTGATATATTTATCACACCCTTGTTCATCTCGCTGAAACAATAAGCAAGCTGCTCCATAAAGGGATGCATCTGTGGCCACATACATTTCACGTGACATATCTGCGTAATGAAGAATTAAATCTTGGTGCAATATGTCTTTTAGTGCTTTAAAGCTTTTCGTCTGCTCATCTGTCCATTGACCAGACACATTCTTGGCATGACTCAAACGTGAAATAGGCTCAGCTACCTTCGAAATCATAGGAATATAATCTCTGAAGTAGTTGATCAAACCCATGAATTGCTGAATCTGTTTCGCAGTTGTAGGAATAGGCCATTTGTCAACATTTGTCAACTTTCGCTTATCAACCTTGGTTCCTGTCTCATTGACAACAAAACCAAGCAATCTCACTGAATGTTGAAGCCAGACACACTTTTCTGAGTTCAGAATCAACTTTGCGGATGACAATTTTTCAATAACTAATTTCACGTCTTTGACATGCTGTTCAAATGTTTCACTGGCAACGATACAATCATCAACAAAATTCTGTACACAGTCAATCTTATCAAATAAAGTAGCCATGACATGTTGAAATTGTGAAGTAAGCATCTTCAAGCCAAAACAGCCTTTAATAAAGCTATACTGTTGCCCACCTAAGTGAGTGAATGTCAGTTTGTGTACATCCTCAGGTGCAACTTTGAAACGATGATACGCATTGGATAAGTCGAGTGTGGTAAAGAATTTCTTTCCACTTAAGTTTTGAAATATTGTTTGAATTTTTGGAATTGGATAATTGAATGTGGGAGGTAGGATCTGATTCAACAATCGCACATATAAACACACTCTATGACTGACAATCTCACCCGCTTTGTTTCTCTTTGGAACAAGCAACATTGGACTGTTGAAGGAAGTGTTGGACTTGGACTTGACAATAGTTCCTGTCTCAAGCCATTCTTTTACTTGCTTGTCAAGTGTTGGTCTTAGAGCATGCGGTATAGGATACTGCCATCTGTAAGCCGTCGCACCTTCCTTAGTAGGTAAACGAATAATAGATTCTGATAAAGGACAATATGACTCAACGGGAATATTCTTATTTTCCTCCAGTGATGCTTTAATAGAGCTCATAAATTCTGCTCGTTGCTGTGCTGTGCCAGCTGGCGAATTATCAGGTTCAAACTTTTTCTCTTTATCAATATTTAGATTTTCATAAATGGCGGCATAGTCTTTTGCATTATCTGAATGGACATATTCTCCTTCGATATCATATGAAACATTATTTAATCCAATATTCATCTTTGCCAAAATATCTCTTCCAAGGAGGATATCAAAATTAAAACCCGTATTAAACTCTAACACCTCTGGTGCATGCTTAAAGATAATGCCATTTATATATTTAAAATTTAAAGGATCAGTTTTTCCTAATCTCTTTGTACTACTATTCTTAGACAGAAAATTAAAGGAACCAATTGAAGAATTTATTTTTGTTATTTGTAAATTGTTATTTAAACATTTCAAATTTATAAACGTGCAGGAACTGCCTGTATCGATCATCCCGATTAACTTCTGGTTCTATTCAAATGATATTTCCTCCATGTCTTCATCTATCCTGTCCTGGATCGTCTTGAGCATCTGCTCAGACTTATCCTTTGCGGGAGACTGGGATACCATGAGAATTGGCTCATTGTTCTTGCTTTTGCAGACATGACCATGGTAGTAGTTTTCACCACAATGTCTGCAAGGATTGCGACTGTTGGAACTACTGGCTTTGTTCTTGTGGTTGATCAAGGTAAAACACTTGCTGGACTCATGGGTCGGGTTTTTTCCATGGTGCGAGCAGAAAAATGTCTTCTCATGCTTGGTTATCTTGTTGGAGTGGTGAAGCTTCTTTCTGGGATGTTCCTCGTTATTCTTCTCAGGTTGCCCACGGGAACCAGGAATCAATCGGGTCGCCTCAGCATAGAGCCTGTTGTCATCCCCAAAGATGTCTCTGCCGATCTGCGTGATCTGCTCTACAGTCCAATCACACTTGGACTCCCCATTGGGACCAGAGCGGGCCATGGTAACTCTTACCAGTGTTTGCACTGATAAGGTCAGCAAGGCAAGGAAGCGATCAGCAATGCGAGCATCGTCTTTGGGTAAACCAGCATTGTAAACCGCATGGAGGAACTTCGAGTAATCACTGATGGACTCAGTGTTCTTCATCATCATTGTAAAGATCTGGTCTGTGAATCGCCGAGACACCAAGCTGGAACCATGTCTTTTGTTGAAGCATGATTTCGCCGCCTTCCAATCAATACACTTCTTAAGATCCATCTCTACCCATCCGTCATCAGTGTGAGGCAGGCAAAGTGGGAGGAATTTCTTCCAAATTCTCTCGATGTCCAAAGAAGAAGACTCGATCACATTCTTGAAAGTACGTAGGAAATGTCCAACTGATTCAAAAACCTCTTCATTTGGGAAGGGCTTAATAATACTGGAGGCCAATTGGAATTTGGGAAGATCTCTTCTGTTGAGAGTCAACCCTCCTTCACGGCCAGCTCTCTCTGTGTTTGTACCAGGAGAGGCAAGCATCTCGCTGCACTTTTCAAGGCTAGTGATTGCCAATCTTGTGCGCTCGATCCTGCGGAGTGCATCATCAGCTGCTTGCTCATTGTTTGCTACATGAACAGCGCTGAAGGCCTCGATGTGGTTGCCCAATTCAGCCTTGAGAACGGCCACACAGGAGGAAGCAGTTGCTACTTCTCTACCAACGGGAGGGGAACCAGAACCAGAAACGGAACCAAAACCAGGGGCAGCATCCGGAAAGAGGACGGGCTCACTCAAGTCAGAGAATAATTCATCCGCAGACATGGGGGACAAGGTAGCCTCCTCAGGAACAGGGGTCAAACCAGCGGGAAACAAGTCAGCAGGAGAGTTCATTGTAGTTCACGAAAAAAAATGTTGTGGGGAGAAAATAAAGCAAAATATAATATAGACGAAAGAATTCGTGAGAACTTGTGTAGGTTGTTTATTTCAAAAGAAAAGTAAAGAATGATAAAATTCGATTGTCTTTCTACATGGAACTATCTACTGATATTTATATGTTTTTCTAATTTGTAATTCAGTGTGTGCTTAAGTAATCTTTATCACGATGAGTCATCTTCCAGGAGTATTGTTCTTCTGGAAAGATCCGGAAAGACCAATTGATATGATACTTCTCCAGTCAGATCAGTCCAAGAGTTTTGGTAAAGAAGAGCATTTATGCTATTGGTAATATTTTAGTATTCCGACCCAGATACTTGGGTAATGTTTCATAATATTAGATAGTTGTAGTTGTAGTCTCTCAACTAAGTATTTGTATAATAAAAGAAATATGTAGATGAAATATAATGATGCCATATATATAATGTATATGTATTTGTATATCCCATGTCATGGTGATAATAATAAATAATCAATTATGTGTATGATGATCTGTGTATTAGATAATATCATAAAGGGAGATCCGTTTGACTGGAATAGCTGAGGATATTATTTTATCAATCAGTCTTACTCTCAGATTCAGCAGTAATCAATACTCATTCACAACACTAAGGATTCAACTCGATAATTCGGACAGAATGCACTTTTTTGTAAATTGGTATTACCAATTGGTTGCGCAGACAGCTTTGTGTATCCCTAAGCTAAAGGAACATAGCAGGGTCCATTGACAGGGATACTGTTACCCATACATAGGTTGAAAGACCGTCTTGTGATCACTTACAATCGCCCAGAGAGGACGGTATATTAAAGTGGCCTTCACTGCGCCGTAACCAAAATAAAATAAAAATTCTATTTAACGATGGCGTCAATCCTCTTCCTACATTCCCTCCATCCCGCCATCCCACCATCCCGCCATCAACTTTACAAAACTACCAGAATCGCCACCACCAACAATATTATTCTTTTATTTTATAATCACTGAAAAATAAAAATCGAAATAATGGCCATATAATAAAACCTCAACACTCGGAAGTCATATACAATATTTCTCTATACCTAAAGTGTTATATGTCACCATTCTCAGAGCTGACCTTCAACTCTCCAAGTCATATAGTATTCATACCACCATAATTCCGACACCTTCTTCGATCCCAATGACGCCATTCAATTCCGTCCCATCCCATCTAATTCCATCCCATCGGACATAATTTTCAAAGCTCACGCCTTTCAGTATACTTTTACGCGACTGGGTCTAGACCAAGCGGACGCCACCTAACAAAAAGTCTCGCGATGTTAATCTCTCGTCATTAGCATGCGCCATGAATGTCAAAACTTTGTCACACTGACTACTCACACGGACCACCCACACGGACCACCCACACGGACCACCCACACGGACCACCCACTCACACCGCCCACTTCTCGCCCATATAAAAAATACACTACTATTAAAACTTGATATTTTTAAATAAAAAATAAACTCATATTATTGTTCTCGCGCATTGTTTTATTCAGTTTTCTTCTAATAATAAAGTGTTTCTCTCAATCATTTGTAAAGCAGACATTGTATTTATGGGCAGACAAAAATGGTTTAAAAAAAAATTTTATTAATATTCAAATATATCGTCAGAATCTTAGTTCACCACCTATAAAGGCGGATCCATCCTCCACAGGGCGTAGACCTGTCCTGACTTCGTGGAAGAGAACGGAGTGGGGAGGAGATCGGGAACGCTGGGGTGTGAGGCTAGCTATGGGCTTAAAAAATAAAAGGTGAACAGGGAACGAAACTATCAATCTAAGCTAAGCTAAAGGGATAAACGAAAGCTATATCTAAAGACTACCCACTACGTAAACTAACTAGAGAGGGGAAACTAAACTACCCCACACCCACCACACCCACCACACCCACCACACCCCCCATCCACACCACACCAACACCCATCCATCCGACACGCCGCTGATTCACATAGAAAAAAGGTCAAGATTAGTATATCTATAGACTATACTACTCCCTCAACACAAATGAAAAGGAAATAATAGACTTACCATGCACAAGAGGAAAACAGAGATGGTCTGGCTGGCACTCTTACTAAATAACTGTGAAAAAATTTTATGCTTTCGTCATTAGATGATGACATAGCAGCATGCATAGAAAATTGTAGATCAATGGATTGATTGCTCTGATTAGAAGCAATATAAAGACTTTCATTTTAAAAACCCGAATTTCTTATATGGCTACCCATTTTCGTGAATTGATTTTATATAAAAATTTACTTGACACATATGTTATATATTAATATATTATTTCTTAAAAGAAAGGTTGTAAAACTGTACCACTTTAGTTGGAATATGAAAGAGAAAGTGGTCTATATATATATATATATGTATAGACTATAAGAGCATATCAAGAGACTCTTTATATTATCCCAGCTTTTTATTAAAGCAAGTCTCATAAATTAAAAATATTATTGACATGTTTAAAATGCAATTAGTTTTTTTTTTATTTACCGAATTGCTATAGTCGATAAGAGCAGATATCTAGTCTTAGATTATATATATAAATGTATTACAAGAGAACTAAAAGTTTTCACAACTGGGCATAGTAATATATAATATTGAGAGTATCGGGTTTTTATATTAGATAATAAGCAAATATAATAGCAAGAATGTTTTAATAAAACATATAAGAATAAAAGGAATCTATACTTTATATAAAGGTTTTGATATGGAATATATATCATAGAATTAACTTTTAGTTATATAATTAAATGTTATGAAAGAAAGAAAGCGCATATAGAAAAAAAAATTATTCTGAACACTCTAATAAACTGACATCATGTTCATCGCACTGCTTGAGATCTTTATTAGAAATAGATCCACTAAGAAAAAATTGGCAATTCAACTAGTGATTATAAAGAATGCTTATAATAGCTTTTAAA